GCTGATGTGCTTGTGTTTCTGTATTCACAGAATACGAAAGTAAAGGAGTTATTGAAAACTTATGCACGCCTGGAAGTCCTTTTGTGTCCAAGTGTGCAACATCAACAGGGAATCACATAGAGAGAATTGTATACTAAATTACAAAAGAAAAAAACTGTCTCAATGTTCATATGATCACGTTACTATTATCTTTTTTTTTTTTTTTTTAATTTAAGACAGACTTGTAACATTGTGAATCTTGCCTTTAAACTACTCTACCCTTCCATGGATTGGGTAAGCCAGCTGCATGGTAACAGTCGACATTGTTCATTACAAAATTCTGTCCATACAAGACAGTAACAACTTTATTTCAGTCAAGGATGCATAATTTGTTAGTGTCTAGTAATGAAGTAATATATAAGCATTAGTGACCAAACCACCATCTTTCAACTTTCCAAAATTAACTGGCAAGGCGACCTTGGCAGAGACCAACTTTAATGTACTATCAGCAGGATTTAATTATTACCATGTCTGTTACCATTGTTACTAAAATAAAACTGACTACAGCAACAACAAAAAACTGCATAATAATACATTTATATTTGCATGATATTACATCACAGTAAACCATTCTATAAAACAGTCCGAGTGGGAGATGGAGGGTAGATGGAGGATCAGTTTGCTGCAGATACATCAATCTCAACATTAAGATTGGTCATGATGCCTGAGATGAGAATGGGTAGGCAAAAAAAAGTTGCCCCTGGTCCTCCTGCAGTCCCAGACTTCCTTTGGGCAGGGGCGGAGCTGTGGCTTTTGACTTAAAATGAGTTAAAAAATGTAATGCTCAGTTCACTCAAGTCATTAAATTAAGCTCTATAAAGAATCAGCATATTAGTAGACCTCCCGGAATGAGTTATGTGAAAGGTAAAACTCTCCGGATCCCTCTGGTTTGTACTTTCAAGAAAACACGGATAGAAACTTGCCGTGTCTTTAATACAGATTTAATAAAGCTGTGGTCTTCATAATAATGAAAACAAGTAAAAGCCTGATAAAGGCACACTTATAATTTAACTATGAACTATGAATAATGGAAGTTGTATCAGTCTTCAACACTGAACTCGAGGCAATGCTGTGGGTATTTCAGGGCATTCTGGGTAACCGATGACTCTGATGGTGATGATGGTGAAAATGATCTCAGTGTTGGTGGTGATAAAGAGTCTGTTCCGTGTAAATTGTTTGCCTTTTGCCAATAAAGCATTGACTAAATTTTTATTTGATCATGTGAAAGTCATTTTATCTCAGGAACATATAATAAAAACATAAGTGCAAGTTTGACTATATATATATTTTTCCTTTAATGTTGTAATGTCTTAATGATTTGCAACATTACAAATCACAGTATTGTGATTTAACACTTAGGTTAATATTAAATATTAGCAACTTAGTGTGCAACCATCGTTGCACACCCACCATTAGATTCTCTTTGTTCTTTTATTAATCTTGTTAATCTCCTTTTAAATGTAATATTTCCCTATAAAATACTACTCAAACTAAACTCTCTACAAACTAAAATACTGTAGTAAAGTATTGGAGGAAATGAAGCCCACACTAGTTTGCCTGTCATTTAGTTTCTCTTTCTGTTTGTTTTGTTTTTGCTCAGACAGAATGTATCACAGGATGTGACTAGAAGAAATACTGTACTCTAGACAAACAAGATTTTCATTTTTTAGGAGGAAGTTTAACACATGAGAAACAGCATAAAAAACCCACTGACTTCACCTCACAGCGTAAAGCTTATAACTGTCTTTAATGTTACAATTGTTTCATTTCTTTAGCTGCTCACTGCAATTCAGATCAAACAGACATATTTTAGATGTTCTTTTATATTTTTTCTTCTGATCTTCGGGACTCTGGGATGGGTCACCTGAGTGATGGAAACTGCTTCAGCAACTTCAGAGTTTGGATTTTTCATCACGCTGTCATTTTCCTTCTTCTAATACAATCTTCTGCAGGTAATATATCCCAGCACCATATCCACAGCTTTGGCAGGTTTCTATTGTTTCTATTGTGTTTTTTGTTTTTTACTTATTTGCAGCTTTATTCTTCTAAATGTTGTGTATGTGTTGTTAGATGTTTTCATCATCTACATGTGTTTTATGTCTGTCTTTGCCTGTTTTATGTCTGCATGCACATATGTAAAACATACTTATGCACATATGATAACAGACTGTACATTTCTTTGTGTGCGAATGATTTTTTTAGCAAAAAGGATTATGTGCTAATGTCTCAAATTCATTAATCATGTAAAGCATGAATTAAATTCTTCAGTGCAGTTTGTGCCAATGGACAAAGATAAAAATGTTATCCTTTTCAAGTTATTTTGGGTTTAATGAGTTCAAAAGAAAATGAAGAGAACTGACAGAAAAAAACTGGTGACATTGTGCACATACAGCAGTGAGATCTGTGAGTAACGTCAGTAAAACAGCCACCGGAGATGTGATTACATGTTTATAACAGGAATTAAATGTTTCTATCACAGGTTTGCCTACAGTGCTTATTGCGTCTCAGACAAAAGTGGCAACAGTAGGTGATGACACCATCTTGCCATGCCACCTGGAACCTGCCACTGATGCTGCCTCCATGACTCTAGAGTGGTCAAGACCTGACCTGAAACCCACTGTTGTCCATGTATGGCATGAAGGCAAGGTTGCGCTGGCTGATCAAAACCCATCATACAAAGACAGAACAACACTGTTTGTTGAAAAACTGAAGCAAGGAGACATTTCACTAAAACTATCCAAAGTGGAACTCTCTGATAATGGCACATACAGATGCTATCTTCCAAAACTGAACACAGAATCATTCATCAGACTTTCTGTTGGTAAGTAGAAGATAATAATGTGTACATAATGTACAAAAATAAAGGTAAAAATTCTGATTCTAGATTCTTAATTGTAAATTTATTTGGTTTCTATACTCCTCTGTGACAGTAACTCCATATCTTTGGGTTGCGGACAAAACAAGACATTTGTGGACATTTTTCTGACTGTTAGTCAAAGTCCTAAAACACAGACAAGGTGTTTGCTGCTGTTCCATAAGCTTCATGCAGCGTACTATGCAGTGACTTAACATGATGCATGCTGCTTAGAAATTTTATTTGACTTTCGCCTGCGCTGCTAAATGTCACCATGTCGCATGACGTTAAACCCTCGCGGGAGCAAGGAGGCTGCAGTTGTCACAGTCTGGAGACTACAGTTGCTGTTCTCCGGCTGCACCAAGTTGAAATGAAATATTGTCAAAAGGTTCCACCTTGGTGCAGCTGAAGAAAAGCAGCGACTGCAGCCACCTTGAGATCAGTCATTGTTCTAAGGTCACCTACTCTACTGGAAGTAGAATATGTGTCTGACTTAACAGCAGTGTTTTTATACCCCACCCAGTCACCTGCAGCTTATGTTTTACTGCGGCTGCCTTTCACTCAAGTTGGCGAAAGGCATCTGCAGTCATCTCAAACACAACTATAGTTGTGAGCAGAGTCTTCTGGTGGACGTTATTATTTGCTTTTGGAAACAAAAACAGATAAAAAGAGTAACACCTACAAACTGACTCCAAACTTCCATGTAAACGTCTATTAAAGTAAATGTATGCTCACTTAGTCAATTTCCTAAGGACCAGCTATGCTACATAAATACTATGCTGTTTTGTGTTTTTAAGAGTTTGACTGATGAATAACATTCATTTTTACATGAATTTGCTATATTGTGATGTATTCGAATGCTTATGTGATATACAGTAGATTTTATACAACGTACATCTGTCACGTGGTCACAATTACGGAATTACTTAATTTGGATTGACTTGACCATGTTGTCCTGACGCATTTTTTTAAGATTATGTAAACATTTTTAATGATTCTGCGTTTAAATAACCATAAAAATAAACTTTTGTGCCTGCTCTCTTGTAAATCTTGTCAATATTCATGCAGTGAATTGAAGGATTTCACTTTATACATGCTGTAAGAAAGAGTATTTCATGCAGTCTAATGCTGCCTTTTCTTGGATTCTGATGAACTTAATTCCTCGCTCTCTGCAATGGTAAATTATCCAACTTTTATGGTCTATGAATGCAAATCCATGAAAACAAAGAGCAGATGCAGTGAGGATCAACAAAAATGAGGTCTGCCACTAGCTAGGCTATAGCCTAAGGAAAAGGACAATCTGTGAATCTTGATTCCTCGCACTGTGACAGACCTCTGACCACTTTCTAGGTCCCATGATGAGGTAAGAAATCAAATCAGAAGGTTTCAAAAGTTCCAGACTTAAAATTGTCTTCACTGAAAAAATCCACATCGCCACTATACGAAGTAAAGTTATTTATACATAAGTCCTTGTGGAAGCACATCAGTTGTGGGCCACAAAGTCCTCAGTGGGAGTCTGTGAAAGACCAAAGAACAAGGCATTTATTGTGTCATATTTATTGTGTCCCTGCGATGGATTGACAAACTGTCCAGGCTGCATGCAGGGTAAGCGGTTGACGATGGATGGATATTTATTGTGTGCGTGTGTGTGGTCCAGTCATGATTGAGTGATCATGCGTGCAAATTAGGCTAGTTAGAGGGGCGTGGTCTACCGACCCCAACAAGGTGGCCCCAGTGAGGGCCTGGCTTGTCCCCCAAATCTCCAAGCTGCGCAGCTTTCTGGGCCTACCCTTTACCTTTTTCACAACCATCCCCAGTCTTCCTTAGTTGGTTGTCATCAAAGTGGTTTGGTTGAGGGACATCCCTTTTTCTGCTGCACCTACAGAGGCAAGAAGAGATGGCCTCTTCTGAGGTTCTGCAGCTGCCTCAATATCCTCTAAAGGCAGCGATAGCATGACAGCTAAGGTAGTTAGTTTCGAGTGATACGCAACACACAATTGTTCCTTACACAATAAGTAAATATAAGACAATATCAAATCAAGAAGTTGCCTAACTTTTTATAAAAAATGATGAAGAAATTCAATAAGCTTTAATAATTTTCCCACAAACATTTTAATTTTGATTGATAACAATAGTAACATAATAAAAATGAAACAACACATTTCCCCAGCATCCTGAAGGTCACAGTTTTGATTGAACAAACGTTAAGGAGTCTGTATGTAAATTTTAGGTGTAATCACACAATGTGAAGTTTATAAAATATGTTTAAAACTTTTAAACCAGTGTTTACAAAATAAATTTTCCACATTATTAAATCATTTCATATTTACTTTTAGTTGATTTCCTGAGTTGCAGAAAAGTGGACAGTGAAAATGATCTAATATTGTGTTTTTGAGTTTTTGGTATCATGCGGCTTCACAGATTGGGTCTTTAAATTACAGTTTTGATTGAACTGGAATCTGTAAATCATAATGTGTTAATGCTGCAGTTGTACTGAAATCACTGTTTTCCTCTGTTATTTGTTTTATAATATATTAATGACATGTATATAGTATATACATGTCATTAATCCCAAGTTTCCCTACACACACACTTCCCTTCACCATGTAGCGATATGTTTTTTGATAATTTGATAAATAAAATCACCGAAAGATGCACACACCCAGGCCCTGGAAGGTCGACAGCCTGTCAATCAGTCCGAGTCACCGTGGAAACAACCTGAGAAAACAACCAGACCAAACTGTGATTGCTGTCATTTCTCCTAATCTGCATCCCAACTGAGACCACCAGGTCTGACTCATCAACTCTCTTCATTCTGTTGTTTGTAGTCTGAAACCTGAGCAGAAAAAACTCCCACCTCCTCGTCAGTCATTTTACTTTCAACATCAAATTAGATTATCAAATGATTCTTTCCTTCTTACTGTCTTTAGTCCTTTTTCATCTGATGTGAAAGCATGAGTGTCACTGAGTGAACCTTTTCCACTACTAGAGTGCGCCACCTACCTGCCTACTGCTGCCCTACTGCTGCCCTACTGCTGCCTTACTGCTGCCTTACTGCTGCCCTACTGCTGCCCTACTGCTGCCTTACTGCTGCCTAACTGCTGCCCTACTGCTGCCCTACTGCTGCCTTACTGCTGCCTTACTGCTGCCCTCCTGCTGCCTTACTGCTGCCTTACTGCTGCCCTCCTGCTGCCTTACTGCTGCCTTACTGCTGCCTACTGCTGCCCTACTGCTGCCCTACTGCTGCCCTACTGCTGCCTTACTGCTGCCCTACTGCTGCCTTACTGATGCTTTACTGCTGCCCTATTGCTGTCCTACTGCTGCCTTACTGCTGCCTTACTGATGCCTTACTGCTGCCCTACTGCTGTCCTACTGCTGCCTTACTGCTGCCTTACTGCTGCCTTACTGCTGCCTAACTGCTGCCCTACTGCTGCCCTACTGCTGCCTTACTGATTCCTTACTGCTGCCCTACTGCTGCCCTACTGCTGCCTTACTGCTGCCTTACTGCTGCCTTACTGATGCCTTACTGCTGCCCTACTGCTGCCCTACTGCTGCCTTACTGCTGCCTTACTGCTGCCCTACTGCTGCCCTACTGCTGCCTTACTGCTGCCTTACTGCTGCCTTACTGATGCCCTATTGCTGCCCTACTGCTGCCCTACTGCTGCCTTACTGCTGCCTTACTTCTGCCCTACGGCTGCTTTACTGCTGCCTTACTGCCGCCCTATGCTGCTCTACTGCTGCCCTACTGCTGCCTTACTGCTGCCTTACTGCTGCCCTACTGCTGCCTTACTGCTGCCTTACTGCTGCCTTACTGCTGCCTTACTGCTGCCTTACTGCTGCCTAACTGCTGCCCTACTGCTGCCCTACTGCTGCCTTACTGATGCCTTACTGCTGCCCTACTGCTGCCCTACTGCTGCCTTACTGCTGCCTTACTGCTGCCTTACTGATGCCTAACTGCTGCCCTACTGCTGCCCTACTGCTGCCTTACTGCTGCCTAACTGCTGCCCTACTGCTGTCCTACTGCTGCCTTACTGCTGCCTTACTGATGCCCTATTGCTGCCCTACTGCTGCCCTACTGCTGCCTTACTGCTGCCTTACTTCTGCCCTACGGCTGCTTTACTGCTGCCTTACTGCCGCCCTATGCTGCCCTACTGCTGCCCTACTGCTGCCTTACTGCTGCCTTACTTCTGCCCTACGGCTGCTTTACTGCTGCCTTACTGCCGCCCTATGCTGCTCTACTGTTGCCTTACTGCTGCCCTACTGCTGCCTTACTGCTGCCTTACTGCTGCCCTACTGCTGCCTTACTGCTGCCTTACTGCTGCCCTACTGCTGCCTTACTGCTGCCCTACTGCTGCCTTACTGCTGCCTTACTGCTGCCTAACTGCTGCCCTACTGCTGTCCTACTGCTGCCTTACTGCTGCCTTACTGCTGCCTAACTGCTGCCTTACTGCTGCCCTACTGCTGCCTTACTGCTGCCTTACTGCTGCCTTACTGCTGCCTTACTGCTGCCCTACTGCTGCCCTACTGCTGCCTTACTGCTGCCTTACTGCTGCCCTACTTCTGCCTTACTGCTGCCCTACTGCTGCCCTACTGCTGCCTTACTGCTGCCCTACTGCTGCCCTACTGCTGCCTTACTGCTGCCTTACTGCTGCCCTATTTCTGCCCTACTGCTGCCCTACTGCTGCCTTACTGATGCCTAACTGCTGCCCTACTGCTGTCCTACTGCTGCCTTACTGCTGCCTTACTGCTGCCCTACTGCTGCCCTACTGCTGCCCTACTGCTGCCTTACTGCTGCCTTACTGCTGCCTTACTGCTGCCCTACTGCTGCCCTACTGCTGCCTTACTGCTGCCTTACTGCTGCCCTACTGCTGTCCTACTGCTGCCTTACTGCTCCACACTGAGGCTCTTTCTGGTTGTTATTGTACTCGTACAGCATTAAATATCCATATTGTTGTCTGGATGGTGCAGATCAGCACAACATAAACACAAGGCACAAAATTAGCATGATAAATAATGTAAAAATAGTTGAAGCCGTTTCCCACTTATTTGCCACCATTTCAGTGTTTATTCTACTCTATTGTGTTCTCAGCAGCGTTTGCTTTGTAATGCGCTTCAAGAATAAAAAATAAGCCGCTGAAAAAACTGCAACAACAGTAGGACAGGAGGTCATGATGCACCGGAATGAGCTCCAGTAAACCGATGTTTCCAGGTCTAACCAGCCAGTCTGATGTTTGTCAAAAGTATCTGTGTTTATTCAGTAGCTGTCTGGTGTTGATTTCAGGTAATGAAGGTAAACACAGTGATCAGCAGAGCTGTGTCTTACCTAATGTGTCCAGGCCATGGTGATGAAGGCTGAGGAGTCGGCTTCATATTGCACCCTGGCAGATCTGCGTCTCCGAGCACCTCCGTTACAAATCTGGAGGTTAAACACAGAGAGAGATTATGTCCACACTCATCCAATCATTCTGGACTGATGCTGCTGATAGCGAGCTTTTTACCTTTTGTCTCAGCATCCTTCATTTACATTTACATTTAACTCACACTCTTTACCCAGAGAAACAGTTGCTATATATTTCAGAGGTTGCACGCCTCTGGAGCAAATAGGGGTTAAGGGTCTTGCTGCTTATTTGGGGCATATTTATTATTTATTTATTCTGAAGAGGACAGTAGAAAGGTGATAGGAAATGAGGGCAGAGAGAAAAACGAAATGGCTTGTCCTCAGCTAGAATCGACCCAGCTACATTGGGATCAGATCATGTGGGATGCGTGTTAACCACGAGGCTGCAGACGCCCTGTTGTAAGTGTATTACCTACCCGCTCTCACTCCCAAGTTGTCTCATATGGATGTATGGTCAAGATCCCTTGGTGTCAGTTTGTAACGCACTTGGAAGCCCTTTTGCATCATTGTTGATTGTTAAAAGTAGGTGGAGTATATACAAAACCCCATTTCAATAAAAACATGAAAATAGTTTTACTGACCAGCACACTTGTTTTTTTGTAAACATAAATAAAGACAGAATTCCATGCCTGCAACAAACTCAACAAAAGTTGGGAGAGAGAAAAGTCTCCACAATAAGCAGGCTAATTGTTAGCAGGTGAGGTGTCATGATCTGTCAAAGGCTCAGTCTTTGCAAGTAAGGATGGGTCGTGGCTCACCCCTTTGTGCCAAAATTAGGAAATTGTTAGTCAGTTCAAAAGGTAACATTTTTCAACACAAGGTAGAAGAGAATTTAGGTCTTTCAAAATCAAAAGTGCTGATTGGGGAATGGGGGATATTCCAGGAGACCAGTGTTTATTTCCCGTTGGAAACAAAAAGTCAACACCGATTCTTTTTAGGTATGTTGCATAAGTTAAGTAATTTTTATGTAAATCATGTAAGTTATTTTAACCCAAACCATGCTGTTTTCTTAAACCTAACTAAATTGTTAACCACTAGTTTTATTTTGTAAGTGTAACCTGACGTTGCATATTTATTATTACTAACTTGACTATGGAGCCCTACATGTGCAAAAGGGCATTAATAAGCGTTAATATGTGGTGAGTTGAACGTGAGAATGTGTTGGTTTTACAGTGACGAGCAGCTGCTCACATGAGTGTGTGTGGTGTGTTTGGGAGAGAGGCGTACCGGAGTGCAGCTGTTGTTCTGTTTGACACACAGGTTGAGTTTGCAGTGCAGGTAGACGTCACCAGAGTTACTAGAGAACCGGAACATGTTGAAGGAGAAGGAGTTGGACGGTCCCAGTCCGTTTCCCTTGACCTGCACCGTCCGGTCAGTGGGGTTCGCACAGCTGCTCACAAACACATCACATCAGAGCACACTTATATTCTGGAATCAAGAATCCCATTAATTGACGAAAACCTGCTTCTGATTCACTGGGAACACAAGTGAGCAGCTAACACCACTGTGTGTGTGTCTCACCCCTTAATGATCAGGTCGTATCTTGGACTCCCGCTGGGCGAGGCCTGATTGGTTGCCCAGCAGGAGTCGGTCACTACGGTAACCAAGCCACCATCCAGCCCGTCAGTCTTTAGCTCCACCCAGATCTTCTGGTTCAGCTGGACTTCGGTGCTCAACTCCACAGCTTGTGTGAGGCCGGCGTCGGTGTAGGCCTTCATGGTCACAGTGTAATTCCAAGGTCCAGATGTGATCTGCTGGATCACAGAGCTGCAGAGCACACACACAAACACACACACACACACACACACACACACACACACACACACAGTTCAGCTACCAAATGCTCACAAGCTTCCTAACAACAGGGTTCACAACACAAAGTAATTTGAATTTAAATCAACAGCCAACACTCACTGGTCCATGATTCTGAAGGCCACAGTCTTGACGTCTGGCTGAGTATAGAAGCAGGAGAAGTTGATGTAGACCTGGTCCTGGTGAGTGATGACGTCAGAGGAGCTGTTCTGGCTCTTGATGGTGTTCATGTAGAATATTTGGCTGTTGTTAATCTGCTGGGTCACAGGGATTCAGGTGCTATTACTGCATCATCGCATTTCAGCCTTAATATAAGCTTCACAGATGATCAACATTACTAGAAACCAAGGCGGTGAGAGCTGAAGCCTAACCCTCAAGAGGATCCCGGACTATAGAAGAGCAGGAGTAGCTCAGCAGAGTGCTGGAGGAGATTTGGCTGCTCGTTGAGAGTAAAGAGGTGAAGGAGAGGACCCACCGTGACCACCGCCCCACAGGTGTTGCTGCTGTTGAAGCTGAAGGTCACCATGTGGGTCTGCTCGTCTACCTGACCCGTGCAGGTCTGGTCATTGAGGTGCAAGGCCGAATAGTTGAAGCCTTTTTCCTCCAGAAGACAACCGACCAGAGTAACTGAAGCAGAGTTCTGCATGCAGATCGTTGGATCACCTGAACGTCCAGCAGCACAGACGAGGGAAACCAACATGAAACACAGACCATGTTACAGAGAAGAGGCTCTACAATCACTCACACCATGTGGGACACAAGCAGTCAGACCATTAAATCCTGGTTTGGTGACATTTCTTTCTTTTGTATTCAGAGCTGATCTGGAGGCAGAAATAAAGGTTGGAACCAAACTACCAGTTTTTATCTCAGCATCAGACTTTAGAAGACCTGAGGGTAAAAGTCAGGTCTGTGCTGCTGATAACAAACACTCAGTCTAACTGAGTGCTGAACTTCTTACTGTAGTTATGAGCAGCTCTGACATCATTTCTGCCTCCTCAACAGCTCAGCTGTGTGAAACAGTTCTCCCTCTGAGAAAACCTTTGAGTCTCTGACAATCAGGACAATTTAATCACGTGACTTCGTTGTGTGTAGCTGTCGTACCGAAAGTGCCTGCTGATATGTACGGAGAGGCAAAAATGGCCCGACAGAAGCAGCTGGGTTCACCTCCCGTGTTCTCGGCACAGAACTCGTGAGCATTGCACATCTTGCCCTGACAGAAAGCCTTAGGAGGTGCTGGGGACAGAGACAGAGAGACATGTTGAGAATAATAATTAAATCACACTAAAGACTAAAGTGCAGATGACTTACTGATGCTGTCACTAACACATAATGACTGCAAGAACACTGAAATAAATTCTCTACAACTACTACAGTAAAAACTGTGAAAGTTTAAATTAGAGACAAAACATTTGTTTTTTCCCTTTTATTTTTATATAGCCTGCTTGCACACATTTTTTACTTCTTTCTTTTTCTGAGTTTTAAAATATTAACGCAAATAGTAGTTTGAATTAATCTAATTTGGATGTTTAATGATCACAAAGTCAGGCTGATAAAGCTTCACTGAATTGAGTTTATTAAAGTCTTACAGCAGCCGGCCTCTGACATCAAGTCCTCCAGTGTGTTGGAGCTGTACAGGCTGCAGGCTCTGGCGTAGGCCTCCAGGAACTGGCAGTGTAGACCGTCTGCCGGAGGATAATTGCACATAGTGTCGGTGCAAGCGGTTATGTAGGGCTCTGGGTTGGTGTAGTTGTGACAGGCGGTGAAGGGAGCCTCATTCAGGAGATTACAGCTGTTCCACAGATGTAAAGGGACAGAATGAAAGAAAGACGGATTAAGTCCAGCCAGTGTTGTGTTATAGTCTACAATTTGGAGTTAAAAACAAACAAAACTATGTTTCACGTCACACAGATGTTCTCCAGATCAAAAGGTGGATAACCTGAGTTCATTGAGAGGTTTTATCTTCCATCCCTCCTCACATCACGTCATGTCAAAGTTTCCTTGGGAAAGATATTGAACTTCAAAATGCTCCCGTGAATAATTAGTTTCTTTGATGTGCAGTTGGCACCTTACATGCGTCATTGTATGAACATGTGTGGTGTAAACTGCTTGGATGTGGTCGTAAAACTAGAAAGGCACTTATATAAGTACAGTCCATTTACCTTTATGTAGCATGTCACTACAGAGATAAAGCGTAATACAGACAGATGTTTCATCTGCTCACCGTTCAGTCATCATGGTGCAGTTGATCGAACTGTCAGCAGAGTCACTGTAATGCACTTCACAGCTAGGGGGCGACACACAACACAAGGTCAGGACTGTTTCCCTTGTTCATATAAAAACAGAGGCTCTTTTTGATTGTTATGGTCTCAAGCATAAAATAATAATATAGTATAGTAATATATAATAATGAAATATAGGCTTTTAATTTTTGGTTCAGTCCTCAAGTGAAAATGCTGGAGAACCTTTCTTCTTTCTCAAGAGAAATTTAAAAGTAGTGAAAATGGTCATTGCTATGAGATAAAGAATAAAACTAAATATACAGAGTCAATCAAATAAACATTGATAGTTCAGATGTTAAGATTATTTAGGGAACTGAAGTTCAAAAACCAACTCTTGTTACATTTGAGCCCTCTCATCAACAACACTCAGTGGGTTGTGATTGATGTCTTACCCACTGGCACTGTAAGCAGCAGGGAGCCTCACTGAGCTCAAAGGAACACTGGAGTTGGCACACAAACCCTGCAGAGATGGATCTTTTCCACCAGGTGCTGGACATGTTCAGGACAGAAAACGAGTCAGATCAGTATCAAAATGAGTCGTAAGCTGCCGCCTTCAAACTGGATGAACGCGGCAGCTCATTAAAGAACTGCAAAGTTTACATTCCTGATGCTCCAAATGAGCACTGGTGTGACATTTATTTTGTGTAGTGAGTGGGAGGATTTTAGTTTGTGTACCTTTTAAGTGGATCTGTGCCGTGTTGCCATCAAAGAAGACAAGCACCACCTTGTTAGACAGCACCACCTTTGCAGTGACTCCGGTTTGATCCTTAGAGAGCTCCACACCGTGAACCACCTGAGCTGTGCTGTTAAGGGTCAACGTATTCTTGTCCAGCTACATCACAGCAAAGAGACAAATTGGAGGAAACACTGATTCAATCATCACAAACACGCAGGCTGTTTTCACAGCAACAACCACTGACTGCTTCTAACATCACTGAGAAGGAAGATGAGAGGATGGAAGGACACTGACACATGACTGTGGCTGCAGGCAGCTTACCCAAACTCTCCCGTCTTGGTCCACTTGAATTTGAACACCAGGCCCGTCTAGTTGCAGTGTCACACTGTCCACAAAGCTCACATCTTTACGTCGACGTTCCCGAAAGTTCCCAAGCACATGGAAGCCTGGGACAGACGAACCCGACAGTAGAGAGTACGCACACCGATCCGGGACAGAGTTCACTTGGCTGAGAAAGTCTATGACAGTAGGGCCGGTCACAGTGCAGATGGAGTCAAACACGCAGCTGATGGAGGCGAAGGGAGACAGAAACAACAACAATCATCATTAGACAAGGCAAGCTTATTTGTATAGCTCATTTCAACAAGGTAATATAAAGTGCTTTACATATCATATAAAAAGACAATTAAAAGAGAGTTAAATAAGACTTTAATAAAAACAAGATGAAAAAGGAGAGTAAAGGTTACAGTGGCAGCAGCAAAAAGAAAAATCTTCATTGTTGATTTAAAGGAATTGAGAGTTTCAGCAGACTTGCAGTTTTCAGGGAATTTGTTTCAGATAATTGGTGCATAAAAACTGAACGCTGCTTCTCCGTGTTTAGTTTCGACTAAGGGGACAGAAAGCAGACATGTCGCAGATGAACCTGGGTGGTTCATAACACAGCAAGAGATCTAAACCATTCAGTGCCTTATTAAATCAGTATTTTCAATAAACAATACAGTAGTTGAGTCGACTGATAGATAAATCCATGGACAAGCGTTTCCAAATCCTGATAAGACAAAAGTCCTTTTAATCCGCCAGTCCCCTACACCAAGATTTGTGGCTTGGTTTGTGGTTTTTAACATAAATGATTAAAGCTGAGCGCTGACTTTTAATCATTCTTCCTTTGTTCCAAAATCAATGACTTCAGTTTGGTCTTTGTTTACTTGAAGAAAATTCCAGCACATCAAATTATTGATTTGTTCAGTGCACTTGTATGGGGTTATAGCCCCCTGTTTATATGGTAGTGTAAACCTGTGTGTCATCTGCATAATTCTAATAGCATATTTTGTTGTTTTCCATAATCTGAGCCAGTAGCAGCACGTGGATGTTAAACATAAGAGGCCCCAGAATGGAGCAACAGCTGCCTCGTCATGAGCTGTTGCTGCTGAGGGCTGCAGCCACAAGGGGTCGCTCAAAGTCATAATGTAGGTATTTATCTCCTAATATTTAATTATTATGTTTCCACACCACTGGCTCACATGTCAACCAACAGCAGTCACTTGAAGGAATCAGCATTTGGTATTTATGATGATGATGATGATGATTATTATTTATTTATTTATTTATTTTTAAATAACTGTGCTGTTAGAACCTTGTCCTGATGCAGATGAAGTTCTGATTGTGGGTCTATTAACATTTTCCATGGGCTCAGTATAGTCTGCTTTAATTTCAAAGTGCGGTGAACACTGAGTTTCAACTGGGGTCTCACAGTGGAGGATAAATGCTCCATCTCCTCCATCTAACCAAATCCTTGTCTCACACTAAACAGATTGACGTGACATGTGTGGCTTTGCTGGAGACCATAAAAGGCTCTGATTTCAAGTCTGTCTGTGTTCAGCTCTCAGTCACTGAATCTCTGAGCTTTGAGGTTTATTTTCACCTCTACGTTCCTGTTCTTAAGTAACAGATATAAGCCTCATTATTTACTGATGTCTTTGCTGCATGTGAGCTGTGTTGAGTTACTGCTGATGAACATCTGCTGCTGCTTCACATTACTGTGAACGCTCTCTAATGGCGAACACTTCCCTGAATAAATAAAGTCTCATCAAGTCCCTGTAAAATCCCAACTCTGTCTTCCAAATATGAAGGACACATATTTACGTGTTGTTGCCTTGACATCGTCCAGTGCGTGGACAGCCAGTGACTCTGAGGACAGCAGTATCATCACAGGTTACACAGGAGCAGGTATCTGGATCAGAGCTCACCACTTCACCATATTTATACAAAACACCTGTGATGTGAGGGAATGGTTACTATCAGGTTAATGTCATTGTTGACTTATTAGTTTGCTAACTGTAAGCAAAAGCAAAACATAAAAAATATTTAAAAAAATAATTAGGTTTTAAGGGTCCCTAAATAGATTTATGGAGGTAGTAGATTTGCCAACCTGAGTGTCTGCATCTGCTGACGTCTAAGAGCTGCCAAAATGTGTTAGAATTCAGTGTATCGACTGTGATACCATTGACCATCAAACTAATCACCTAGACGGCAACAAACACAACCACTGTTACTATCACAGAGCAGAGACAACTTCAATTATAATTTTGTCTTTTCCTCTTGTTAAACAAGAGTAACAGGGAACTGTCTCTGTGTGCAGACTTTATGCAAGTATTTTTTGAGCAATATTTAGTTATTTATTATACTCACAGATGAAATACTGCCGCCTATTATTACAGCTGTTTGTGTCCCAAAGTTAGCTAGATAGACATCACTCTATGAAGAGTCAATAAAGGAGACACTGATAGACACAGTTAGGTATTTTCCAAAAACCTTTAGGAAAGTATTTGATGATAATCTATAAATTAATTTTTGTCTGATCAAAAACACTGAACACCGGTCAATTGTAATTAGTCATGACACTGAACAACACTCACCAGACTTCCAACACCTACTATGCATTTTATGTTGCCCGTAATAGTTGGTAAAGTCATATGGATATAATTTTCCGCATCCTTTGATGGAAATGGATTTATCTGAAACAGAGCCTTGCCTGCCAACAATGGAAAACCTACAATACAGTCCTGTCTGGTTTGATTGTTGAAAAGGTCAATGAAACAGACATTTGTGGAGTTCACCTGTTGAAATCAGAGACACAACAATTACCATAACAATACTGATGAACTGCTGGTTTTACTCCAGATTCATATGTAAAGGATGTATCAGTTGTCAGTTGACATTCACTCAGTCTGCACACATCATCTTTATACAGCTGCAGACTAAATGTAAATGATGACAGTAGGTGAAAACAAACAAATCCTACTCACATAGATTTGTTCGTACTTCTGTCCATAAAACGTGATGGGGCATGAGCTGATGTTAAACACTGCAGGGAGGGAAAATATCTGAGCACCTGAAGACGATGGAGACACATGAGAGGTCAGAATTAGAGTACAACAACAGGGAAGGCTGCTCATTCAAAAGTTGACTTCATGAAGGAATAAAACGGGTTTTGCTAACCAACCAAGAAGACTTTTCTTATTACATAATCAGTCACTGCTTCTTAGAAACAAAGAGATTTCAGAAGATCTCGTCACGTTTGACAGATTATCACTTAAAATCATTTTACTCTGCTCCTGAGATTGTTTGCTAATTTATTATGATGGAGTTTCAAAATGGCTGCCATGTGTGTGCTCACCTGCCAGCCCGATGAGAGCAGACAGGTAGAGCAGGGTGCAGAGCATGTTGGAGGAGCCCGATCAGCTGGAGAGAGAGAGAGAGAGAGAGAGAGAGAGAGAGAGAGAGAGAGGGAGAGAGAGAGCTGGAAGACACACAGAAAGTCAGAGCCACATTCAAAGTTCAACACTTTTCCTGGCAAGTGGAACATGAAGCTCAGTCCAAAGACAGGGTTCATACACATTTTAGATTTCCATGACTTTTCCAGGTTTTTTTTTTTTTTCCCATGACCCTAAGAACCCTGCATGAATGTGAGGTTTCATGTTTCTAAAAGCTGCAGTATTCACTCGCTCTGTGTAACAGTATTTACAACAACAGCTCAGCTATTGCAGTTGGACAATGACATCACATCTGAGCCCATCCTTTAGTCTGCAACCAACAATTATGTTTTCATTATCTATCAATCTCCACATTATTCTCTTGATTAATCATTTGGTTTATAAAATGTCAAAAAACTGTGCCTGACATATTTAACACTAGAACCTGCCAACGGGTGTTATGTAGCACCCACTATTGTTAAAAAATGTCAAGATAAAGCCAGTTTTAGCGCCAGCGGGTAAAATTTACCCCTTTAGAGAATCCAGTCATTTTAGCGCTGTTCATTTCACTGTTTAAACATTATATGTAGCTATTGGCAACGTGTTTCCCACTACAGACATCACACTTGCTCAGCGCAGTGAGTGAAGGAGAGTCTGACGGTGGGCTGAGCGATGTGTCCTGGGTTGATTCTGCATCTGACAGCATCCACTTGTATGAAGTAAACATGCATAAAAGCCGCTGCTCATAGGTTTTGTGTTTCTACATGTTCATCAAAACAAACAGTTTTTCGCTGTGATAGAGGTGCGTTCTGCGGTCCCTTCAAGAGAGCGTGCGGCTCCCTCCTGTGCCTTTTGACCGGCTATAACTTTTCCAATGATGTGTATTTTTTTTAATAAAAGTGAACATCATACATTTTTCCTTGGGTAAAAATCTACTATGAATTTTGGAATTTATAATAATTGTTTTTTTCAAATAAATAGCCTACTTTTATTTGGACTTTCAAACTTTTGAAGCTATGTGTTACTCTGTGGATGCCCGATGGAAGCCCGAAAAAACAAGCAAAACAGGAGGCTATTATTACCGCCTATAAAACACTACAACAGTCAGTCTTGTCTTGTAAATTTTATGCTGCATTTAAATTGAAGTTGTGTTTAGAATATAACTAGGCTATAACATCTATAACAGCGGCGAGTGGATGACATCAAGAGAGCCGCCGCGTGTGAACGTGCCCTTCACAGGTGAACTACCTGCACGGTGAAGACAATGAATAAATTAGAATAAACATTCTTAAATGCCTGAAATATGGGGATGTGTTTATAGGAAATACAGAGCCAATGTGCTAAATGTTTCCCAAAGTGTGTTGGAGCAACACGTAGTAGAAATAATCACAAAATCAGGCATTTTTGGCGGTTAGGTCACAACCCTGGCGGTTCTAGTGTTAACTGGCTGGCTGGCAGTCCAAAACCCAAAAATAGGCTTACAGTAAACAGTAGGCCTACTATTTGATGATTAATAAACACAAATTGAGAATAAGCTCTGTGACTTTCAGAAACATGGAAAAAAAGTCTTATTAGTATAGGTTTTTTAATGTATTTACCTTTTGTAACTTATTTGCCAGTTTGAGTGTTTTCCACACCTCCTTTCATATTCGTAACCTGGATTTAGGCTCAGAGTGCTGAAACGATCCTTGAATATTAAAATAACAGTTTGTTATTGTAAATTTAATATATTGGTCTTTAAACATTAAGGACAAAGCCAGCTCTGTGAGGACAGCACCTTGGGCTTTAGGAAAGTGTGTGGAATGTCTTTTTAGTATTTTCTGACATTTTTACAAATCAAATAAATATTTAAAAAATGAATTGATCATGTTGATGGGCGTTGCGGTCTGTAATGCTGGCACTCTCCTTGGTAACCTTAATCTGGTCGTCATATTTTTACTTTAGTACCTATTTTTAATACATTGATAGAGATATGTTGTTTTTCCTTCTCTTTGTGGCCCTGCTGTGTGTTTGAAGCAGTGAATATTAGTTGAGGTGTGCAGGTTGTCTCACCCTCTGGAGGTCTGTTGGGTGATGAGGTAGATAAAGGTCTCCGATCTGCAGCTAGCGGACAGTTTTGTCTGTTGCTCTCTATATGTGGAGGAAGCCGCTCTCTCTTTCTCACTCACTCTGTTTTTATGTGCATCCCCACTGTTGTTCAAACCCACGAAGGAAGGACGGGTTAGACAGGGGCGGAGTCAACAATGGTGATACCTGTTGTGAACGCCACCCATTTTCACCCAAATCAATAAGATGAAAAAGCAAACAAGGCAAAGAAAGAAGAAATATCACATAAATTACAAGATAGACATAGAAAGTGTTAAAAGTTAATTAGTAATTGTCAGATAGTATCTTAACTTAGTAATGATGTTTTCTTTAATGCACATTTGATGTTATAGCCTCTACCTTGGTTTTATAACCACTTAATATAGGGTGATAATGAATTTATAGCATCTGTCAAATTACTCCGGTAGAAGTTTTTGTTTGTAGAAAAATGAAACCATTTCAGTGATAACTGGGGCAAACTTATGCATTGCTTTCAGTCCAGCGCCCTCAGGTTAGATCTGTGGGGCCCCGGTGTCTTTTATTAATACAAGAGTCACCAATATCAGAAATCTTAAACTTCTTCACACGGGGGCTTTAAATATGGATTCAACTCAAATTGCTGTTTGTTGTCAAAGAAAAAAGGACTGAATGTCGTAAATCTCTGAAAAGTAAAACCCAAATCAGATATCCTGGCCTACTGATGGACTTTAAAAACCACGTCAACAAAATAATAGTCCGATTATTATATTTTTTCTCAACGCAGCAAGAATTGAGAGAATTCACGTCCAAAAAGGATTTGCATAAACAAAGCCGAAACCTTTACACTTTGTTCGTACATGAGCATGTGAATGTATTGTAATGTATGGTGGTATGATGAAAAAAATGTTGTAAATCTCAGAGTGCACAACAACAGAGTCAAACATACCCAGAAGGTGTCTGGTGTGGAATGAAACTCAACTAGAAAGTCTTCACCTGTGAGTCGGTTGATTGTGGAAAGACGCAGGCATTTTCAAGTTCACTGGAAGAACAGTGAGGTCTTTCTACCAGCAGACAAGTGGAGGGTAACATTATGTATTTGAACAGCAATGACCTTTTCAAAATCAAAATGTACAGCTTAAAGAAGTGGAGAAGTGAAGTAGTTTGTCTTGTGGTCCAGCAGTACGGAGCACCCGGAGGATTAGGGGGAGAATACTTTTGTGTTACCTCACAATAACTTGTGTTCCTACGAAGTATGTTTTGCTTTTTCTCGCAATACTTTTGCATTAAAATGCAATACTTTTGTGTTTATAGTCCATTACTACGCCAAGATTTCTGGCTTGGTTGTGGTTTTTAACATTTTAACACGCATGCAGCACTGACATCCAGTAGTACTAAAACTGAAATTTTACCACTGTCTGTGTTTAAATGATTGTCATTGAAGACCTTAACAAGAGCAGTCGCAGTGCTGTGGTCGAATCCTGACAGTAAGACATTAAATCAGTTGTTTAGTGCCAATAAGTTTTTCATCTGCTAAGGCCATGCAATCAAAAACATTTATTTACCTGGTGGCAGAATATCAAGGCAACATGAGGAGGAATTTCAGATGATGTATTATTTCCTCAAGGTTTCTATGGCTGAGAGATGCGCAAGCAAGCCTTAATAAATATTTCACTGGTGTTTTCATAAGTGTGACAAATGAGGATTTAAAGCCAGTGTTGGAAGTAGATGCTGAGGGGGGTTAAAGGTAGAGAAAATGTGAGTAGTTCGAGGGAAGGTTTGGTTCCAGCAGTGACCAGCTCTTTCATGTGGTCAGTGAACTGCAAGGGGGGGTGAATCCTTACAGGTGGCTGTTAGTGAGTGGGGTGGAGACTCTTCCTCTTGGCTATGATGTCTCCCATGATAAGAGCTCTCTTAAGGCGAGGTCTGAAATGGCTCTCTTTCAACGTTTATGGCTTGTTGTGTTGTGTCTTTTTCTTGTTTTGATCCCTCTTCTCTCTTGGCAGAGGGAACAGTCACTTTCTGATCTACTCTCAGTCCTTCTGTGTGAGGACAGGATGTTATCCAGGTCATCAGATGGAGATCCAGGGTCCTGCAGTTGAGGTGTCCACCTCTGTGTCCTACTAAGAACAGGGGTTGAAGAGCCACTCTGCCTGGATAATAATGCAGGCCAGCAGGTTTCATCACAAATCTCAGGACGTTGGGCTCATCCTGTTACTTGTCCTCCCATTTGTCAGGGAAATGATTTCCTCTGAGGCTTTGCACCAGGAGAGTTCCAGGAAGGACTACCACTTTATAGATTTATTAGCCGGCACACAGGCCTTATGCGTCTGGGTAGTCTTGTTGGTGCTAATTAGCTGTGTGTTAGCATCCCCTTGTCCAGTATCGACAGCTTGTGAGAAGTGGCGGTGCACAGGAAAAAATCGCGCTACACCGAAGAGTAAATTTCCCGTATTGTGTAACAGTGTGAACAGGCCCACTTCAGTATGGGCTGCTTTTAAATATATTAATGTTTATGTTAACATCATGTTTCACGTCATGTGACAAATGTCAGCTCGCTTTGGATGATGTACTGAAACACTGAAACCTTTTTGTGGTTTTCAGGTCAACGGCAATCATTTCCAATAGTATATTGATTATATAGTATATTATTATTATATAGTGTATATATAGTATATTGAAGTGGCGTTGGCTCACTTTAACATGTCAAAGAACACACTGCGAAATGGTGGCCTTTGCATCCTCCGCTTATTGGTTCAGTTTTTTATCAATACTCATTCTCTATCATGACTAAAAGTGATTTGAAAAAATATTATTAAAAAAATCAAAACAGGATTAGAATTTAATATTTAAAACACAACAATGTTCATAGAGCATCAAAAGCAATGTCACTCTATATACAGTATGCTATATTAGCTTTCAATAGGTTTGTGTGTTTATGGTTGTTGAACAGGTACATTGATTGAGAATTGGCTTTTTACTCTCAAAGGTTTTATTGCACTTCCTTACAGCAACGAGAAGAGTTGTTGTCAACTCGAGTAGTCTTGGAGTTATCTTCACTTCACCTGGTTCACTTCTCAAGCATGATCACTGACTCTGCTCTGTGTGTCTGCGTTGAAGCTCACAGAGAGCAGATTTCTATCGGTTCAACGCTGATTGGTTGTTCACAACGCAGCGTAAAAAATGTAATGTTAGCATAATCACTGGAAAAATAGGGTGCGTCGATAGTAAGTTTACTGTGTCCTTCAGTATTTTGATGTGTCAGAGTCACAGGACGCTGACTTGTCTACATCGCTGCTCCCTGCATACCTGTAGCATGTAGAGATGACAACTATGACACGTAACGCTACCTTGGTTACTAGTTCCAGTGATTAATGAAAATTCTCACATATCCAATCATTTAGTTGTTCTGTTCACCTCAGCGCTTGTATGAGATCGTTGTTCCACGGGGATATGGTCATGTGTAATTACCTTTGTAATCCGAGAGAAATTTTCCTTTTTTTTAAAAAGTAAATTATTGAAATAGAAATGAATGAGTCAATGTTTTGAATCTCTTTTCCTCTCAGATTTCTGTCTAGTTGAACTGCTCTCAGCTAAATTTGTTTTGTTCTAATGGGTGGTGAACAAATACTTTTCACAAATGGTGAACTTAAACTTTGTTGTTCTGAAATCAAGCTTCCAGAGGATCTATCATCTGCCTCAGAACTACAAGAATACAACTGACAAGTAACTCATCAACAATTTGTGCTATGTTCCTGGCTGAGAATATCAGTCTAGTAAAAGGTGGCATGTTGTACTTGAAAATGTGGGTAATTATAATGCATTCCTTTCAAAGTAATTATCGCAATGTTGAAAAGCCAGCAGATACCTTTAGCAGAATGTTAAAGTACTTCGGCATGTTCCCATACTTGAGTTATCTGGTGAGTTTCCCCCTCCAGGTTTGAGATCTCTGACAGAACTCACCCTGCAAGTTTATATATATAAGTTGTGCACAGTATGTAGTGATTATGCAATGGATGAGTCACTATGAAGCTTTTCATGGTAAGGCATCCTTAAGGAGAAAATAATTTACAGCAACCTCTGCTTGACTTTGACAACCAATAAATCCTAAAGCTACCACAACACCTTAACCTCATAGTGACAATGTATTTCCCGCAAAACATCTGCAATTAAATGTTTTGCACTGCCGCCCCTTTCTAGCTCTTTCTTGTTATCAGCTGACCTGGATAAATCAGTTGTTTCAGTGTTTCTCTTATTTGTCCCAAAAATAATTGTAATTATATCTGCTGGTTAAATGAAAATAATGAAAAAAAGAACTGGCGACTTCCACATGTTTTTTTTTTGTTATCTCCTAATTACAAGGTAGACAGCAAGACATAATTCCATTGGTTTAGTCTGTGTCCAAAGACCTGCAAATATGACGACAACTGTTTTTTCATTCATAGATGGCAGTAGAAGTGTGTTTCGATCCAATTGGTCGTAGATAAAACATTTTGTGAGACCACACCTGCACTCAGTGAAATATATATGTACAGTATATATATAAGACTATTGCAGTCTGTAAAACTGCAAAATCTGCTGCTAATAAAATGGTTATGAGACGAGCATTGAATCTGTGAGTGTGTGGTTTTGAAAATATAAACACTAGGCTAAATGCCGTTTTCTGTTTCCATAGGGCCAAAGAATCTTTCTGTTAGTCATCTTACAAACAGTATTCAAATGCATTACAGTCTATGATCTCTGTTTTTTTTCTCTCACATTTCATGATTTAAGAAATGTGCGGTACATACACTTTAACAGAATCACAATGGAGTGTTACAAACATTACAAAACAAAGAATAATAAAAGCATATTTTTACTGTCATGAAGTTCCAGAAGATAACTGTGACATGATTTCTGTAAATTTTCATTTGTTTTAAAAATAAATATTACAGCAAAAATATTTTAAAAAATAGTTCCTGAGTTACGTTAGCTCACATCTTGATTTAGAATGTATTAATTTATTTAACAGTTCAGTTTTTGAGATTTCAGATACTATGCCTTAGCAATGAAGAGTTGTTTATCAGTTAACTATAAACAGTAAACAGCAATAATGAAATAAATACAGATTTTTTTTGGTCACATTTCAAACAAAACATGTTTTAGATTGTTGAATATAAATATAAAAAAGTTATATTCATATTATATTCAGTTATAGTCATTTATAAAAAATGGTCTCGTGTTGATACCATGAACTGACGTGTTTACTGGACATCACTACATTATGTGTTGTTGCAGAAAGATTTGGTTAAAGAAATATCAAGAGCCAGGTTCAGGTGTGATAAAGAAGTTTCGGGGACTGATGAAGACTTATCGCATGGTTTAATGAGACTCGGCCGAGTGCCAACATACGACGTGAGAACACATAAAATGCCAAACACCAAATCTGAAGGATAACATCTTGTGGTCCTTTTTTATGTTACTGTCTGTCCCTCTAGTGTCTGTAGGTTTTCCATCTTAGGTCATCTTAACCTGAACACCCAGCCTGTCTGGTGTTTAGATTCAAATGCTCTGTCACAAAGGAATCAAATACTATCCATGAGTTTCACTTTGATCTGTGGAGCCAGCGAGGTCTTGTCAACATTCTTGAAAGAACCTAAGATTCCCATAACACCCATTGCATGACACCTGTTTCTCCCTAATCAGTCTGTCACCTAACAAGGACAATAACAGAGAAAAAGAACTAGAGCTGGAAATGAACACACACACATGTTGGGTCAGCTAATGACTCCAAGCTAGACCTGCCTTACCTTTCCTGTTACATCAATTAACCCCTCTACCAAATATCTTTATCGCAATGTTGAAAGCGAAGAGGAAATAACTCAAGGAGAGTGACATTCAAGAACAGCAGTCAGGTAAACTTGTGGCCTCTCCTCTCAACGTAGAAAAGTCGGTTTATAGATAAAAAAAAACGAGCAAAATTCAACAAAGGGCAATGGAAACAGACTCAAAATAAATCTTGACATATATGAAGCATGTCACTTGAAGCTTCCACGCAACCGAAGAGATGAAAAATAGCAGCAGACAAAAACATCAGATTGTGTTGAGCATTTCACTGGTGCAATGGTTTAATGGAACGATCGTGAATTAGCTCCACCTGCTGCTCATTTGTTATCCTCCATCTTCTGCTTCTCCTCATTGAGCTTCTGGACTTTAATTGTCAGACTTTCCAGCTCAGAGGAGAGAGAGGATAAAGACATTTACATTTATTGATTTAGCTGCGGCTTTTATCCAAAGCGACTTACAATTGCTATATATGTCAGAGGTCGCACGCCTCTGGAGTAACTAGGGGTTAAGTGTCTTGCTCAGGAACAAAATTGTTACAGTGGGGAATTGAACCAGGGTCTCTCACACAAAAGACATGTGTCTTATCCACTGCCCCATCACCAAACTGAGACAGAAGATGACAGATTTATTAGTATTTTAGTTAAGATAGACAAAAAGACATGACATGAAGGTACTCCATGATCTTACTTGTGCAGCAGTTGAATTCAACTGTGTGTCCGTGTGTGTTGTCGACTATTGCTTGTTGTGTGTTTGAGAGCAGCCAACATCTCTGCATCCTTGATTTCCAGTTGATGATTTACCTCCTCCAGCTCTTCATTGGTCTTCGTCCACTTCTCTTAGCTGCTTGTTTGTTGTCCTCCAGCTAACAGACAGACAAATGGATGTTGGTTTCAACAGTGTTTATATGCAGGAACTGACAGTCTGACACAAAATCTCTTTTGTGCTCATTCTCCTAACTGACTGACCGAATAAATCTGCTTGTAAATCATAATAAGACATATTCACATTTTATCACCTTGGTAGTTATGACTTCTTCTTATTTTATAAAAAAAACTGCTAACAGACATAATTTTTACTACTGAAACATTTATTCCTGTAAAACCTGGTCGGTTGATCGATTTTCATCTGCTCTTTTAAGCAGCTCTACACTCACAAATCCCAAATAAGTGTGTTCAACTTTTTCTTGTTAGAGTTTCACAAGCTTGTTCAAACAACAAGTTCTACCTCTAATTGACATATAAAAAACATACATTACATCCCTGTGTAGGATAGTAGCCTAATTTTTCTGTGAACTACTTTTATCAAAAAATATACCTTATTTCATGCAAAGACCTTATAACATGAAATATTTCTTTTTTATGAAGAGGAGATACAGAACACTTCTGTGAGGTAGAAAAGCTGTTTCCATTGCTGAAGTGCAATGAGAGATGAAAAATAGCAGCAGACAAAAAAAAAGATTTGTGTTTAGTGTTTAATTGTGTCATCCTGTTGTGTCACATTCCTCTGCAGTGGTTTAATGGCACAATTTGTGAATAAGCTTCACCAACTCTTTATCTCAATGAGCCAACTCCTAATAATCACATAACAATAACAATAGTAGATGGAACTGACTAAAAACAGTTACTGAAATACAGCTTAGAGGTGTGATTTGTATATTTAGTGTGTCGTGAAGAGTTAAGTCTTTGCTCTTGTAATTTCCCTTAAAATACATGTTGGATTTTATGATCTTGACTGTTAGATCCATTTAACATGAACTTAAAAACTCAAACAAGTGATGTTGCATAATTGTCTTGATAATTTAATCTTGAAAGAAAGCTTAAGTTCCTTGTAGTCTTACCTGCTTGTGGGTTAGGGCTAGGGTTAACGTCTATGTTTGTGTGCGTGTGTGTGTGTGTATGTAACACAGAGAGGAAGATGTGCCAGCAGAATAAAAATTTACAGAAAGGAAAAAGAAGCAAAGAGAAGCTCATGAGATGCAGAAGAAAGATAAATATATGACCTGACAAAGGAACTGGAGAAACAGAAAAAGCAACCCACCTTCCAAATGCAGGAGGCAGAGAGACTGATGGAGGAGAATGTAATAAATTCAGTAGAGAAAGAGGTAACAGGGAAGGAGTTAGATATAACGTGTAACATAGTACAGGGATGCTTAAAACTCAGAGAAATAATAACACTGTCCATTGAGAGAGAAAACAAGAATATCAAGAACTGCAAATGAACACAGACAAACTAATGGAGAAGACACTGAAAGAGGTTAAGATAACTGAGAAACAAATGGAGGAGAGAGACAGAGACAAGAATCATAGGAAGCTTGAGTCAAAGAATGAAGGGAGGAAATAGAAACACCTAAATGAATAAAAAACTAACCAGTAACGGTGTACACAATCAGTTTACTTAATCTCAACAATCCCAGAATTTACTGTAATTAAAATAGTTTTATTTAGATCACTACTGTTATTGCTTTTCTGCAATTGACCCTTTGCTAAGCCCCGCCCCCTTAGTTACTGTTGCCGACAAACTGTCGGCGCTGCCCAGAGAAATATTGTTAGTTTTGCAGTTGCATTATAAATTTGAAGGTTGTATTCAGGCTGTCAACTGACTCAAACAGACGAGAAAAAATGAAAGATAGAAGCTAAAGCCTACCACTCACACAGTACAAGTGAACCACCGCATCCCTCGACGATTGAGACAAAAGACAATGATATTAAGGATCAACATTGTTCCTGTACAGCTGAGTAGGCCTCTATTGATTATTACAATTGTTAAAAAGCAGAACAGTAGGGCTTTATTACGTTACATCCAGTAGTAAGTTAGCTAACGTTAGCTCACTAACATCATTTGGAACAATCCACAGCCGACATTTGTCTGGATTTATTTTAGGTTTTGGAAAGAGAATAAATCGTAATTCTCCTTTCAACCTCTCTGGGTAGCAACTGTAACTATTACAAGTGCCGCAGGAACAGCGTTTGACCAGATCTTGAAAAAATACAGCCAAAAAAAGCCAGAAAACGACTCTTTTACAATGTTTTTAAATTTTGCATAATCTAAATAGATTATAAAGTTATAATGAGTTTTTGTCTTTCCGTGGTGAAAATTTACATCCGCAAGTCTTATTTCTCAGGGTTCAACTCGCAAATGGCTTTGCGATCACACCTTTAGTTTCTGTATTTATTGAGAATAAAGTGTTGATAAGAGTGTTTGGGGGCTTATGTGGAAAAATTTTGAAATAAAAGCCAGCGCATGCTAATTTTATTTTATTGCTAGCTGTTCAAAGGATGCTAAAACTCCATCTATATACAGGTGCTAAACTTTTTCTCAAGTTAAAATTTTGATCCATGCAGCAATCACACACATTGTCTTCTGGAAATGCACAAATCTAGTTTCAGTTCATGTTGGTGTAGTTTCTGTTAGATCTTCAACATTAACCTAAACAACTATAGATTCATAATGAGTAAATATATGACAAAATCAAATCAGCCATAATTTTCCCACATACATTTTATTTTTGATGGATAACATAATGAAGATGAAACAACACATCTCATCTCTCAGTGGCACAAAGGTAACAGTTTGGGCTCCACTGACAGTTCAAGGAGTCCATATGCAAGATTTTTTAATTGTTATTTATATATTTTATGTATTTGTTGGCCAGTTAAATTTGAGATGCAATCACGCAATGTTGAGTTATAAAATAAGATATTTTGTATTAATGATTCCTTAACTAGTGAAGAGAAGAAAAGAAGAAAGCAAAGTTATACCGTGGTGTCCACATTGACACCTCTTTTCTTTAGAGTCTTCCCGAGGGTGAAAAACAACAGGTTAAAGTTTTCCATAGTCCCAAAGGCAATAAATGAGCTGGAGTTGATCAGATACACTTTATGATTGTGATGCTAACATTTGAATTGGTTGAATACTTTCAAACAAACACATGTTGTACGTTGCAATGGGTGTAATTAATGTCCCATGTCTCCATGTTTCTTTGTTTTTAACCCTCTGCTGTAAATTGAATTTCCCCTTGAAGGACAATAAAGAATGAACAGCTCAGTGACCTGCTGCAAAACCCTCAACTAATTCCTCTCACTGACAGACTGCACTTCAATCATTAGAAATCCTTAGTGACGTCTGATTATTATTATTTGTAAGAGTGTAGATATACTTTAGAACAAATAACATGTTCATAATCCCAATTCCACACACACACTTCCCTTCACTATGTAGTGATGTGGTTTTAATTAAGTTGATAATTGACCATCACTGAAGGATGCACACACTCAGGATCAGGATGCAGGGAAAGTCAGGAATCATCATGAAGGTCGACAGCCTGTCAATCAGTCCAAGTTGCCATGGATACAACCTGAGAAAACAACCAGACCAATGTGTGATTGCTGTCATTTCTCCAAATCTGCATCCCAACTGAGACCACCAGGTCTGACTCTTGAACTCTCTTCATTCTGTTGTTTGTGGTTCGAAATCTGAGCAGAAAAAAACTCTCCCTGTCAGTCATTTTACTTTCAACATCAAATCAGATCATTAAATATCGCTCATGTCATGATTATGTCCTTTTTACTTATTTAGTCCTTTTTCATCTGATGTGAAAGCATGAGAGTCACTGAGTGAACCTTTTATACTACTAGAGTGTGCCGCCTACCTGCCTACTGCTGCCCTACTGCTGCCCTACTGCTGCCCTACTGCTGCCCTAATGCAGAAGGTTGATGAAGAGGAAGCTGTTGAACTCTGTTCGCTCCTCTGATGGTTGGTATTTGGGACGTAGACAGAGATGTAGCATCTAGTTCTGTATCATGACTGAAGCCACACTGAGGCTCTTTCTGCTTATTATTGTACTCATACAGCATTACAAAATATGCTCTCTGCCAATCATATCGCTGCTCTCATTGTACTGACACACCTGAGCCAATCACAGTGACACACTACATCTCAACAAATGAAGCCTCACCAGGAAATCACATTGTTGTCTGGATGGTGCAGAGCAGCACAACATAAACACAAGGCACCAAATTAATATGATAACTAATGTAAAAATTGTTTGTTTGCTTAATGCACATCAAGAATAAAAAATAAGCCGTTGAAAAAACTGCAACAACAGTAGGACAGGAGGTCATGATGCACCGGAATGAGCTCCAGTAAACCGATGTCTCCAGGTCTAACCAGCCAGTCTGATGTTTGTCAAAGTATTTGTGTTTATTCAGTAGCTGTCTGGTGTTGATTTCAGTTAGTGAAGGTAAACACAGTGATCAGCAGAGTGTGTCTTACCTATTTGGTCCAGGCCATGGTGATGAAGGCTGAAGAGTCGGCTTCATATTGCACCCTGGCAGATCTGCGTCTCCGAGCACCTCCGTTACAAATCTGCAGGTTAAAGGCAAAGAGAGATTATGTCCACACTCATCCATTCATTCTGGACTGATGCTGCTCATAGCGAGCTTTTCACCTTTTGTCTCAGCATCCTTCATTTACATTTACATTTAACTCACACTCTTTACCCAAAGAAACAGTTGCTATATGTATATCCAACGAAGGTTAAAGTCAAGGGCAACTGGCCTTGGTTGAAGATACTGGAAGATGTTTCGTCCCTCATCCAAAGGACTTCTTCAGTTCGGACTAACTGGTAGGGAAACTCAGCTATTTAACCTCAGTGGGGTCGTTTGCCAGGATTGTCGATACCGCACACCCAAACACAAGAAAAGCAATCTAGTGTATGCGTTCCAATGCAGTGAGGAATGCACAGACCTGTATATTGGGGAGACTAAACAACCACTACACAAACGCATGGCTCAACACAGAAGGGCTCCTCAGGTTAAGACTCTGCAGTCTACTTACATCAGGCTAGAGGCCAGGGAGCAGCGCTCCAGCTTCGGACTAATAAACATCCGTGATAGGATTACAACGTTGATTTATCTTCACTCAAGCTTCTCAGCAGCTAGATTCTGTTCAGTGTTGTTAGCGTCGTTTGGCCATACTTCATATTTATATAAAAACCGGGACAAAACTGGGCATTGCTGGGAGAAAAGAACACGAGGAGGTTGCACTACCTGGTGAGTTCAGAAAACATGTGTCTGTAACTTTAGTCTAGCTATTGTTGTACTTTACTGTGACCAAGTTAGCATAACATAGCCCTGATCGAACTCCATTCAGAAAAAAAACATTTTAGTTGCATCCAATGTACTCACGCGAGGAAAGCCGCGCGAGACGGAAATTCGCGTTTGGTCTGAAAGCACACTAATGAACCAGCGGTATCGACAATCCTGGAAAACGACCCCACTGAGGTTAAATAGCTTAGTTTGTCAACCAGACAGACAGAAATGAAGTCCTTTGTATGAGGGACGAAATGTCTTCTAGTATCTTCAACCAAGTCCAGTTGCCCTTGACTTTAACCTTCTTTGGGTCACATATGGATGTATGGTCAAGACCCCTTGGTGTCAGTTTGTAACACACTGGGAAGCCCTTTTGCATCATTGTTGAGTGCTCAAAGTAGGTGGAGTATATACAATCCCCATTTCTAGAAAAAAAAGTCCAAAATGCAATAAAAACAAATATCTGGTCTTTCAAAATAAGTGTTGATTGGGGAATGGGGGATATTCCAGGAGACCAGTGTTTATTTCCCGTGGGCAACGAAAAATCAACACTGATTCTTTTTAGGTATGTTGCATAAGTTAAGTAGTTTCTACGTAAATTACGCAGGTTATTTTAACCCAAACCATGTTGTTTTCTTAAACCTAACTAAATTGTTAACCACTAGTTTTATTTTGTAAGTGTAACCTGACGTTGCATATTTATTATTACTAACTTGACTGTGGAGCCCTACATGTGCAAAAATGATGCATGAGGGGAAGCCAGAGCATTAATGAGCGTTAATATGTGGTGAGTTGAGCTTGTGAGAATGTGTTGGTTTTACAGTGACGAGCAGCTGCTCACATGAGTGTGCGTGGTGTGTTTGGGAGGGAGGCGTACCGGAGCGCAGCTGTTGTTCTGTTTGACACACAAGTTGAGTTTGCAGTGCAGGTAGACGTCACCAGAGTTACTAGAGAACCGGAACATGTTGAAGGAGAAGGAGTTGGACGGTCCCAGTCCGTTTCCCTTCACCTGCACCGTCCGGTCACTGGGGTTCGCACAGCTGCTCACAAATACATCACATCAGAGCACACTTTATATTCTGGAATCAAGATTCCCATTAATTGATGAAAACCTGCTTCTGATTCACTGGGAACACAAGCGAGCAGCTAACACCACTGTGTGTGTCTCACCCCTTAATGATCAGGTTGTATCTTGGTCTCCCGCTGGGCGAAGCCTGATTGGTTGCCCAGCAGGAGTCGGTCACCACGGTAACCAAGCCACCATCCAGCCCGTCAGTCTTCAGCTCCACCCAGATCTTCTGGTTCAGCTGGACTTCGGTGCTCGACTCCACAGCTTGTGTGAGGCCGGCGTCGGTGTAGGTCTTCATGGTCACAGTGTAATTCCAAGGTCCAGATGTGATCTGCTGGATCACAGAGCTGCAGAGCACACACACACACACACACACACACACACACACACACACAGTTCAGCTACCTAATGCTCACAAACTTCCTAACAACAGGGTTCACAACACAAAGTAATTTGAATTTAAATCAACAGCCAACACTCACTGGTCCATGATTCTGAAGGCCACAGTCTTGACGTCTGGCTGAGTATAGAAGCAGGAGAAGTTGATGTAGACCTGGTCCTGGTGAGTGATGACGTCAGAGGAGCTGTTCTGGCTCTTGATGGTGTTCATGTAGAATATTTGGCTGTTGTTAATCTGCTGGGTCACAGGGATTCAGGTGCTATTACTGCATCAGTTCATCGCATTTCAGCCTTAATATAAGCTTCACAGATGATCAACATTACTAGAAACCAAGGCGGTGAGAGCTGAAGCCTAACCCACAAGAGGATCCCGGACTATAGAAGAGCAGGAGTAGCTCAGCAGAGTGCTGGAGGAGATGTGGCTGCTCATTGAGAGTAAAGAGGTGAAGGAGAGAACCCACCGTGACCACCGCCCCACAGGTGTTGCTGCTGTTGAAGCTGAAGGTCACCATGTGGGTCTGCTTGTCTACCTGACCCGTGCAGGTTTGGTCATTGAGGTGCAAGGCCGAATAGTTGAAGCCTTTTTCCTCCAGAAGACAACCGACCAGAGTAACTGAAGCAGAGTTCTGCATGCAGATCGTTGGATCACCTGAACGTCCAGCAGCACAGACGAGGGAAACCAACATGAAACACCGACCATGTTACAGAGAAGAGACTCTACAATCACTCACACCATGTGGGACACAAGCAGTCAGACCATTAAATCCTGGTTTGGTGACATTTCTTTCTTTTGTATTCAGAGCTGATCTGGAGGCAGAAATAAAGGTTGGAACCAAACTACCAGTTTTTATCTCAGCATCAGACTTTAGAAGACCTGAGGGTAAAAGTCTGGTCTGTACTGAGATCAAACACTCAGTCTAACTGAGTGCTGAACTTCTTACTGTAGTTATGAGCAGCTCTGACATCATTTCTGCCTCCTCAACAGCTCAGCTGTGTGAAACAGTTCTCCCTCTGAGAAAACCTTTGAGTCTCTGACGATCAGGACAATTTAGTCATGTGACTTCGTTGTGTGTAGCTGTCGTACCGAAAGTGCCTGCTGATATGTACGGAGTGGCAAAAATGGCCCGACAGAAGCAGCTGGGTTCACCTCCCGTGTTCTCGGCACAGAACTCGTGAGCATTGCACATCTTGCCCTGACAGAAAGCCTGAGGAGGTGCTGGGGACAGAGACAGAGAGACATGTTGAGAATAATAATTAAATCACACTAAAGACTAAAGTGCAGATGACTTACTGATGCTGTCACTAACACATAATGACTGCAAGAACACTGAAATAAATTCTCTACAACTACTACAGTAAAAACTGTGAAAGTTTAAATTAGAGACAAAACATTTGTTTTTCCCTTTTATTTTTATATAGCCTGCTTGCAAACATTTTTTCTTCTTTCTTTTTCCGAGTTTTAAAATATTAACGCAAAAGTAATTTGAATTAATCTAATTTGGATGTTTAATGATCACAAAGTCAGGCTGATAAAGCTTCACTGAATTGAGTTTATTAAAGTCTTACAGCAGCCGGCCTCTGACATCAAGTCCTCCAGTGTGTTGGAGCTGTACAGGCTGCAGGCTCTGGCGTAGGCCTCCAGGAACTGGCAGTGTAGACCGTCTGCCGGAGGATAATTGCACATAGTGTCGGTGCAGGCGGTTATGTAGGGCTCTGGGTTGGTGTAGTTGTGACAGGCGGTGAAGGGAGCCTCATTCAGGAGATTACAGCTGTTCCACAGATGTAAAGGGACAGAATGAAAGAAAGACGGATGAAGTCCAGCCAGTGTAGCAAAAAATAAAAATGTAAAAGTCACACAGATTTTTGTTCCCAGAAAAAAAAAGGTAGAATCTCCCATCATTGTATGAATGTGTGTGAATGGGGTGAACGTGATATGTGGTGTAAACTGCTTTGATGTGGTCAGAAGACTAGAAAGGTGCTTCACAATTACAGTTCATTTACCATGATGTAGCATGTCACTACAGAGATTAAGCGTAATACAAACAGATGTTTCATCTACTCACCGTTCAGTCGTCATGGTGCAGTTGATCAAACTGTCAGCAGAGTCACTGTAATGCACCTCACAGCTAGAGGATGACACACAATACGGTCATATAAAAACAAAGACTATTTTTGATTGTTATGACCTCAAGCAAAGATACATACAGGCTTTGTATGTTTGGTTCACTCCACAAGTCAAAAAGCCGGGCAACCTTTTTTCTTTTACAAGAGGCGTCCAAATATTTTAAAGTAGGCCTATTAAAAATTGTTATTGCTTGAAATGTTGTTTTCCATGTATGTATGGTCGCTCAGGGCTTCTGCAGTTTTGAAATAAAGAATAAAACTAAATATACAGAGTTAATCCACAAATAAACATTGATAGTTCAGATGAGAATATTTAGGGGACTGAATTTTGATGTCTTACCCACTGGCACTGTAAGCAGCAGGGAGCCTCACTGAGCTCAAAGGAACACTGGAGTTGGCACACAAACCCTGCAGAGACGGATCTTTTCCACCTGGTCCTCGACACGTTCAGGACAGAAAACGAGTCAGATCAGTATCAAAATGAGTCGTAAGCTGCCGCCTTCAAACTGGATGAACGCGGCAGCTCATTAAAGAACTGCAAAGTTTACATCTGAAGTCTACATTCTGAAGCTCCAAAGGAGCACTGGTGTGACATTTATTCATTTTATTCTGTGTGGTGAGTGGGAGGATTTTAGTTTGTGTACCTTTTAAGTGGATTTGTGCCGTGTTGCCATCAAAGAAGACAAGCAGCACCTTGTTAGAGAGCACCACCTTTGCAGTGACTCCAGTTTGATCCTTAGAGAGCTCCACACCGTGAACCAGCTGAGCTGTGCTGTTAAGGGTCAACGTATTCTTGTCCAGCTACATCACAGCAAAGAGACAAACTGGAGGAAACACTGATTCAATCATCACAAACACGCAGGCTGTTTTCACAGCAACAACCACTGACTGCTTCTAACATCACTGAGAAGGAAGATGAGAGGATGGGAGGACACTGACACATGACTGTGGCTGCAGGCAGCTTACCCAAACTCTCCCGTCTTGGTCCACTTGAATTTGAACACCCGGCCCGTCTAGTTGCAGTGTCACACTGTCCACAAAGCTCACATCTTTACGTCGACGTTCCCGAAAGTTCCCAAGCACATGGAAGCCTGGGACAGACGGACCCGACAGTAGAGAGTACGCACACCGATCCGGGACAGAGTTCACTTGGCTGAGAAAGTCTATGACAGTAGGGCCGGTCACAGTGCAGATGTAGTCAAACACGCAGCTGATGGAGGCGAAGGGAGACAAATTCCCGAAGTCAAGTTTATTTGTATAGCTCATTTCACCAACAAGGTAATAGCAAAGGAAAACTCCTGCACACTGTCTAACTTGCAAAAAATATATTGACACAACGTTTCGGTACTAGACCTTCATCAGGCAATTGGTGAGAAGCCACCTTTTATAGCACAACTACATTAATCACCTACCTCATCAACTGTCTATTAGTCAGTTCTTGCGACTTAGAAGGATCTGCCATTCCACTGAGAACTATATTGAAAAGGCAGTAGACATGAAAAAGATATTTGCTCAGCGGGGGTACCCTTTGCATTGGCTTGATCAAGCATATGAATTGGCTCTTAAGAAAACATGTTCTAGTTTACTCAAAAAGAGGGCGAAACTTTTTTTTAAACACTGGCATATCTTAGTCGGACCCTGGACTTTAATTTACTTTTCGAGATCCACCTCTTTTTTTACTAATGGGGGAAAAATATAAGGAATTCTTTGGTCTGCGTCAATTCTGAGTACAAAACTAAGCCTACTCAGGACATACAGATATGCTTACACTGTCTTCCAAAGGGTAATTATAGATGTGGTGGTTGCGCACAATGCAATAATACTACCAAAATGCACCAATTTACCCACCCCCACACAGGCAAAACTTTTCCACTGGCTGTGTGACTTTCTACAGAGCAATAGTTTATTTGAGGATTTTCAGTCAGGATTTAGAGCTCATCATAGCACAGAGACAGCACTGGTGAAAATTACTAATGACCTCCTTATTGCATCAGACAAAGGACTTGTCACTGTACTGGTTTTACTAGATCTTAGTGCTGCATTTGATACCATTGACCATCAGATCCTATTGCATAGACAGGAACATTTCAATGGCATTAAGGGAACCGCTCTAAGCTGGTTTATGTCCTATTTATCAGATCGATTTCAGTTTGTAGATGTTAACGGTGAGTCCTCCATGCACGCCAAAGTTAGGCATGGAGTTCCACAAGGATCTGTCCTCGGACCAATCCTGTTCACTTTATATATGCTTCCTTTAGACAATATTATCAGGAAATATTCCATAAACTTTCATTGTTATGTAGATGATACTCAGTTATATCTATCGATCAAGCCAGATGAAACTAATCAGTTAGCTAAATTTAATTTAATAGTAATTTTCTCATGTTAAACTCAGATAAAACTAAAGTTATTGTTCTGGGGCCCAAGCACCACCATGACACATTATCTAAAGATATAGTTTCCCTGGTCGGCACCACTGTGAGGAATCTTGGAGTTATCTTTGATCAGGACATGTCGTTTAAGTCTCACATTAAGCAAATTTCAAGGACCGCCTTTCTTCACCTACGTAATATTGCGAAAATCAGGAATATCCTGTCTAAATATAATTCAGAAAAACTAGTCCATGCATTTGTTACTTCTAGGCTGGATTACTGCAATTCCTTATTATCAGGCTGCTCGAAAAAGTCCATTAAGACTCTTCAGCTGATCCAGAATGCTGCAGCACGTGTTCTGACAGGAACCAGGAAAAGAGATCATATTTCTCCTGTCTTAGCTTCTTTGCATTGGCTTCCAGTAAAATCCAGAATAGAATTTAAAATCATTCTTCTCACCTACAAAGCTCTTAATGGTCAGGCACCATCTTATCTTAAAGAGCTCATAGTACCTTACTACCCCACCAGAGCACTGCGCTCCCAGAATGCAGGGTTACTTGTGGTTCCTAGAGTCTCCAAAAGTAGACTTGGAGCCAGAGCATTCCTATCAAGCTCCTCTCCTGTGGAACCAGGTTCCAGTTTGGGTTCAGGAGGCAGACACCATCTCCACATTTAAGAGTAGGCTTAAGACTTTCCTCTTTGAGGAAAGCTTATATTTAGGGCTGGCTCAGGTGAGTCCTTGATTCTTAGTTATGCTGCTATAGGCCTAGACTGCCGGGGGATTTCCTATGATGCACTGAGCTCCTCTCTCCTCTACTTTCTCTCCCTCTGTATTCAACCTCATCCCATTAATGCATGTTACTAACTCAACTTCTCCCCTTTCCGGTAGTCTTGTGCTTTCTCGTCCCTCTCCTCTCTCCTCATCACTTCCTGCAGGTGTTTCTGGCTCTGGAGCTGTGGAGTCTGGATCTTTGGTTGCGAGTCACCTGCTGCCCCCGTGTTCCTGCTCGACACCCTCTGCTACAATTATTGTTACTAGTCCTATTGTTATTATTGGTATTATAATCATTAACATTACAATTATTATCATAAACATTACTGTATTTATATGTACCATTTTTCATTTAGTCTACAGCAACATCACCTTTACTGTCTGTACCTCTGTGTGTATGTTTTGTAGACTGCCTCCCTCCCCTCTCTCTCCTTCCATCCCTCTCTTTTTCTCTCTGTTCCTTTCTTGCTTTCTCTCTCTCTCTCTCTCTCCCTCTCTCTCCTTCACCCCCAACCCTTCGAGGCAGATGGCCGCCCACCCTGAGCCATGGTTCTGCTCGATATTTCTGCCTCTTAAAAGGAAGTTTTTCCTTGCCTCTGTCGCCTAGTGCTTGCTCTTGGTGGGAATTGTAGGGCTTCTGTCAATCTCATCACAGAGTATTTTGCAATAAAATTGAATAGAATTGAAAATTGAACTGCCACAAGTTTTTGTTCTACAATTTTATAAATTCCATTGGTAGTTTACATAATGTAATTGTTGTTTTTTGGTTCTATTGTGTTTTTTGGGGTCATATGTCGTATGCATTTATCTAGTGTTATGTTTATTTGCCATTTCCTCTAAGTTATTTGTGTATTGATATATAAGGCACCAGTAAGATTTGCCAGTATGTGGATGTATGAGTGCATTTATGATCTTATTTTGATGTACATTCAGTAGGCTACCTATACAGATATCTAGATTCTTTCATGGAATGAATGTTTTGTAATGGCTACCTTATTTGATGAGGAAGAAGGTGACTGGTGTAGACCAAATAAGTCATCTCCTATAAAAGATGGCTTCTCACTATGTAACACCATTTGTCTGATGAAGGTCTAGTAATGAAACATTGTGTCAATATATTCTTTGCAAGTTAGACAGTGTGCGGGAGTTTTCCTTTGCTACATTTGACTTTTTTGTCCCCCTCCGATGTACTTGTCTCTCGTTTTAGAGGTGCGAAGGTAATTACTGTTCTGAACCAAAAGGTAATACAAAGTGCTTTATTATATGAAAAGATATTTATAAATGGTAGAGTTAAATAAAAAATAAATAACAAGATAAAACATGAGTGTAAAAGTTACAGTGCTGTGTAAGATCAAAAGCATCACTTAATTAAAGTGAATTAAAGGCAGCAGCAAAAAGAAAAGTCTTCAGCCTTGATTTTAAGGAACTGAAAGCCTTTTCCAGATATATGGTTTACGAAAACTGAACGCTGCTTCTCCATGTTCAGTTTTGACTGTGGGGGACAGAAAGCAGACCTGTCCTCTGTCCCAGACCCTGAGAGGTCGTCTGGGACAGAGGCCCTAAACCACTCAGTGGTTTCTTAAACGGTCGAATTGACTGAAGATAAATGCATGGGCAAGCTTCTCCAGATCCTGCTGAAACATAAGTCCTTTTAATCTTGATACATTCTTCAGGCGATAGTCGGATGACTTAATGTAGGCGTTGAAATTTTAACATTACAGATTGGAGCTGGGCACTAACTTTTAATCATTCTCCCTAGGCCACAAAAAAACTTTTCGTTCAGTTTTTATCTTTGTTTAACGGAAGAAAATTCCAGCACATCTAATCTTGGATTTGTTCAGCTCTTCTATCGGATTATAGTTCCCCGGTGATACGGTCGTGTAAACCTGTGCGTCATCTGCATAATTACAGTAACATATATTGTGCCAGTGGAAGCATGTAGATATTATGATGATATTAAACAGATGAGGCCCCAGAATAGAGCAGCTGCATAGTCATCATGAGCTACTGCTGAGCTTTGGGGCCACAAGGGGGCGGTCAAAGTCTCTTATCATATTTATTTCATAATTTGTGTATTTTCCATGGATCACATGTCAACCAACAGCAGCCATGCGAAGGCCTCAGCACTAATATCAACATTTGATTATTATTATCATCATGATCATCACCATTTTTATCATTATTACAGGGAAATGTCTTGAAAGTCATCTAGTTACTGTAATGCATTAACTCGGTTAACAGACAACAGTTTCTGTCCCATATGAAAACTATGCTGAACCCTCAATTAATTTCAAAGTGGCTTTGCTGGAGACCATAAAATGCTCTGATTTCAAGTCTGTCTGTGTTCAGCTCTGAATCACTGAATCTCTGAGGTTTATTTTCACCTCTACGTTCCTTTTCTTAATTTTATGTAACAGATATCAGCCTCACTATTTACTGACCTCTTTGCTCCATGTGAGCAGTGTTGAGTTACTGCTGACGCAAACCCAACATCTGCTGCTGCTGCTTCACATTACTGTGAAAGCTCTCTAATGGCGAACACTTCCATGAATAAAAAAGTCCTCATCAAGTCCCTGTATAATCACAACCCTAAATATAAAGGAAACATATTTACGTGTTGTAGTCTTGACATCGTTCCACAGGTGGACAGCCAGTGACTCTGAGGACAGCAGTATCATCACAGATTAGACAGGTATCTGGATCAGACCTCACCATTTTACCATATTCATACAAAACACCTGTGAAGTGACGGAAGGTTTACTGTTAGTTTAATTTCATAGTTCACTCATTAGTTTACAAACTGTAAGCACAAAAAAAATACACACAAAAATTACTGCATTATAAAATATTAGTTTTCCATATAGCTTTAAGGGCCCCAAAGTAGATTTATGGAGCCAGAGAATTTGCTTACCTGAGTGTCTGCATCCGCTGATGTCTAAGTATGCTAAGAACGGTGATGTGAGAATATTCAGTGTATCAACTGTGGTACCATCGACCAGAAAACCAAACACCTAGATGGCAAGTATAAACCAATGTTCCTATCACAGAGCAGAGAAAACTTAATTTATACAAAAATACTTTGTGTTGCCTTTTCCTCTTGTCAACATAAACATTGTGTTTGTTTTTTAGAGCAATATATGCCTTTATTTAGATTAGATTTAGATCTACGTTATACTCACAGATGGACTCGGGGTTTTTATTTGTATAGCTGCTTGTGTCCCAAAGTTACCAAGAACCAAAGCAGTCTATAAAGGACCAACAAAGGAGATATAGACACCATTAGGACATTTTCCCCAAAAGCTTTTAAAAAAGTTTTTAATTTCACATAATCTACATAGAACAAAACAACACTCACCGTTTTCCTAAGAGCAAACATCTGGATTTCTATTGTGCATTCTAGTTTGCCCTTTATAGTTGGCACATTTTGATGGAACGTTTGTTCATACAAAGTCCTTGCTGGATATATCACTAGATCACGTGTTCCTGCCACGGGAAAGCCTTCAATACAGTCCTGTCTGGGTTTGTTGTTGAAAAAGTTGTTGAAACAGACATTGGAGGAGTTAACCTGTTGAAATAAGAGAGAACAATTAACATAACATTGATACTGAAGAAATATAGAACTGCTGCGTTTCCTCTAGATTCATATGTGAAGGATGTCCAAGGTCTATAGGGTGAACCTGGACGCAGCATATATTATGGCTCTCAACTCCTCCCACTCCCAAGTAAGGTCAGAAAACAAAAAGATTTTACAAATAGCAGTTTTTTATTTACTCTGAGTTGAGCAGTGCCCAAAATAACAAACAAAAAGACTCTAGGCAAACCTACGACTATTTAAACAAAAAAAAAAAAGTAAAGAAAAAAAAGGTCTATTCAAATTTATACTGCAACAAAGGCTATCTATTTACACTAAATAATGGCTAGGGCCAACAAAAGTAGGTTGTCACAACCAATATTCATAATCACTAAGTTGCTGTTTCTCTACTCACAAAGCTTGATAAGCACATTGCGCTCTTCACCAGAGGTGGAACCAAGTCATCGTTTAACAGAGGACCTGTAAAGCCTAGTTCACACTACACGATTTTTAGCCCGATTCGCCGCTCGGCGAGCCAGCTTGACGACCATCAGGCTGTGATTGGGAGTAAATCAGCGGTCGATATGTGTGAACTCCTCAACGATGTGTCACAACCGCTCCCCGACACATTTCTGACACATTGCAGAAGTCTGCCAGATATCTATAATGCCAAATATCTGGAGGAGTCGGCCGACTTGACATCCACATCCAGCCAATGAAAGCAGGCAGCTGGCAGAGCAGGTAGCTACTTTTTCACTGCAAAACACTTTTTACTCATCTCCAGCTCTCTCTGTAGCTCAGACGATCCCTGCTACCTGCGTGTGCTAATCCATCCTTTCACCTAGATTCTTTGTCTTTACAATTGTTTTCTTTTTAACAAACAACAGCTGTTTTGTCTTTCCCATTTCACATTTCACCTGTGTTTTCTTGACAAAACGTGGTATGGAGAACAGCGTCGGGTGACACAGCCGCTGTCAGCTCATGTAGTGTGTGACCCCATGTCACCGATCAGTCATGTAGTGTGAACGCCACAACGACTTCAAGACTCCCGTCACAAGATGGCATGTTGTGTAGTGACGCTGAAAGTCGTGTAGTCTGCACAAGCCTTAAGTCTCAAGTCTTAGCCAAGTTGAGTCCCAAGTCCAGACCGACCGGCAAGTCCGAGTCAAGTCTCACGTCAAGACCAAGTCCTAAACTTTCGGTCCTAAACAAGTCATATTGTCTTATATTATCTTCACGTTTTCAAGTTAAAAATAAAAAGATGTATTGAATGAAGCATTAGCCTGTATAGAAAGAAGGCAGAGGTGCAGTTTCACACAACAAATGTTCTATAATTTCATTATTATTATTTATATTATTATAATTAAATTAAATATTCATGTAGGGCTGCTAATTATTTTGGTCCATTTTGAGATCACAATTATTTAACAGGATTACTCTTTGACTTAGGAAACATTACTCATTTAAAAAGTAATAGGCCTACTTTCTTTTTACTACTATGAAATATTACTATAAATAAACTTAACTACTATGTGCATTACTCCAGAATTCCAAATAGCCCATGAAATAAGATATAATATCCTACATTATTAACTTTAAGCAGCGTTTAGAGGACAACAGCAGCACTGCGTTTCCCCTAAGGTGACAGCTTTGGGTGACGATGGGCCACGGAGAGGGCTCCGTGTGTGTGTGTATGTAGGTGTGTGTGTGTGTAGTGGAGCAGAGCAGGTGACAGTGAACTTCTCGAGTTGACAAAGTTACGTTACAGAATGCTGAAATACAACCTTGGTGTTTTGTCGGGAGGTGACTTAAACCAACGGTGAGAAAACTATAAATCTCTATGACATTAAAAAATGCTGACACAGTGGATATTTTACAAGCACCGATCAGTTAAAGGAACACTGAACACACCTGGTTTAGAATAAATAATATCCATTCTTCCATTAGCTATGGCCGCTTATCCTTTAGCCTATAGTGTAAAATGTCATAGGTTAAAGCTGTTAATGTTGAATAGTCAGTCAGTCAGTCAGCTTTGTCAGGAGTTGACCCAAAATGCTTTCCAAGAACAAGTAGCCTATAAACGAACAAAAGAACAAATATACCACTGTGTGTTCAAATACACAATAAAACACTAGTACACTAAACACATCAAAAAAGGAATATGGAGTACTCGGTAAAGATAAAATTCAAAGGAGCTAAAAGGAAATAAATAAGATCAACATCGTCATCGTAGGAAGTTATAGCAGTTATAATCCCCTGTCATGTTGGCTCCAGCTGAATTAAACATCACAGCCTGCTGAGAGGGAGTTTGGGCTTTTAGGGAGGGACGAGAGGCTCTGCTGTGAAGGAAAGGGGTGCGCTGGATTTATAAAACAAAACAAGTGTCATTGTGAAACGGGAACCCGTTGTTATTATCGTTTTATCTTAACTTGTTTTTAGAATTGGTGGAAGCAGTGTGCAGCTGCAGAGAGCCCTCAGCTGTTGTGGATGGTCTGGCATGGATTATGCGTAAAATTCATGCAGCCAGAGGGAATGATCATGAACTGTTCACCTGTGGGTTTAAAAATGCTGCTGTCATGCAGTTGACCAATCGTGATCCAATCTGGGGTGCCCAGCTGAGGGCTATTTTACAAAACCAAGATACCAGATTAAGCCGGGATTTTCCAGATACCCTGGCTGAATTAAGCCATGGCTTGGGTTTCATGAAAGCCATGGAGATTTTTTTTTCCTGTGTAGCTAGTCTGCTCAAGACCAGGCTAAGCAGGTGAATTTTCTGGCCCTCCTAGAGTGGCCTCGGAGATGGACTGGGACAATGATGAAATATTTCCTCCTGTCAGAGACCAAGATGTCATTATTGAAGAGGATTTATTGCTTTTTTATGTATGAATCATTTAATAATAATGGATCATATGTTACTTTTTGATGTGTATGTATTTTATTCATCATTGGTGGCACCAAGATTTGTGCTTTTTAGGTTTCAAAAATTGTATAATCCTCCCAAATTATACAGTTTACTGGACCATTAAGTATATAGTGTACTGTACATTCATGAAACAACAGAGAGGGAACACCACAATGTTTTTTGAACAAGATGAAAACAAAGGAAGACATTCTCAAGGCTTCATCCTACTCACATAGAGTTGTTTGTACTTCTGTCCATAAAACGTGATGGGCATGAGCTGATGTCAACCACTGTAGGACCAGAAAATCCCAGAGCACCTGAAGTCGATGGAGACACATGAGAGGTCAGAACTAGCGTACAACAGGGAAGGGTGCACATTCAAAAGTTGACTTCATGAAGGAATAAAACAGGTTTTGTTTACCAACCAATCAAGATTTTTAATTTAACATCGTCACTGCTTCTTCTTAGAAACAAAGATATATCAGGAAAATAATACTTTGTTTTGTTAGTTCTTCTGTTCCTCAACACGTCTTATTAGCAGTGTTTCAAAATGGCTGCCGTGTGTGCGGTTACCTGCAAGCCTGATGAGAGCGGACAGGTAGAGCAGGGGGCGGAGCATGTTGGAGGAGCCCAATCAGCTGGAGAGAGAGAGACAGTTGGAAACAAAGTCAGAGCCACTTTGAAAGTTTAACACTGTTCCTGGGAAGTGGAAAATGAAGCTCAGTCCAGTGACAGGGTTCATTCACATTTTGGACTTTCATGACTTTTGCTGTTTCCATGTATGTATGTGATGGGTCATGTTTCTAAATGTTCTCTGTTTTTATTATTTTTATTACTAGCTACAGCAGCAGACTGAAGATCCAGTGTGAAATAATTTGGAGGATCTATTGTCAGAAATGCAATATAATATCCATAACTAGTTTTCAGTGGTGTATAAAGACCTTACATAATGAACCGTAATGTTTTTATTTTCTTAGAATGCGCAGGTCCTCTAACACGGGAGTCACCATATTGTGCCACCATGTTTCTACAGTAGCCCAAATGAATAAACTGCTCTACAGAGCGCGTTTCGTCACTATGTTGAATACGTACGTACAAACAATAGTAGTCTGGTTTATTATTAGTAACAAGAGAAGTGAAATTTGGACAAGTTGAGCACCACACGTATTAGCTCAAGAGTCGACAGAGTTTGGAAAGGGAGGGGTGAGCAGTGACTGAGCATTTGGTTGCAATTCATTACTCTCACCGCTAGATGCCACTAAAAGTTACATACTGAATCTTTGAATATTGCAACTGGAAAACGACATCACATCTGAGCTCATTTTATTGTCTATAACCATTTCTGACTGATTTTATGATTACGATTTCATTATCAATTAAAAAATTATTTTGTCCATTAATCATTTGGTTTATAAAATGTGAAAAGTGTCTCTCACATTTTCCAGGGTGACGTCTTTAAATGGCTGGCAGTCAAAAGACAAAAGATTTCCAGCTTACAGTAACCACTACTATTTAAGTCTTCAAATAACCCTATAATCCAAATATTTCAACAAAAAAATATGATTAATTAATTTCACTTATGAGAATTCGCTCTTACTGTGACTTTCAGTAACATTAAAAGAAATTCATATCTTATGTGTAAAAAGTATTATAGTATAGCCTTTTGTAACTTAAAGGCCACCTCCTTTTATATTTGTAACCCTGATGTAGACTCATTGTGCTGTGCTGTATTGAATATTAAAATAACATAGTTTGAAGTCCATCATCACTTTTTTGAAGTCATGCTGAATGGAGCTCACACAGTCAGATGATTAATCTATACATTTGATTGTCACCTGCAATTTAAATTTAAAATTTCAAACATTCTCTGGTTTCAGCTTTTAAAACGTGAGAACATGTCACTTTTCTTGCATTGTATATTGAATATGAGTTTTGTCTTCAAACTGTAGGGACAAAACCACCTCTGTGAACACAGCACCTTGGGCTTTAGGAAATTGTATTGAATATTATCTTTTCTGACATTTTAATAAATCAAATGAAAATTTGAAAATGAATCAATTGAGAAGATAGTTGTTGCAGCCGTCATGCTGACGCTGTCCTTGGTCATCTACATTTGGTCATTGCCATTGGAGCTTGCAGATTATCTTACCCCGTGGAGGTTTGTTGCAGGATGAGGTAGATGAATTCTGTGATGGTCCTGCAGCTGGTGGAAAGATTTGCTGATCTCTCTCCTTCTCCCTCTATTAATGTGCATCCTCCCTGCTGTTTAAACCCAGGAAAGAAGACGGGGTAAGGCGGGGGTGGAGTCAACACTAGTGATACCTGTTTTGAATTCTCCCTTAATTTTCCTTCAGCACTTTTCGACCAGCCCAGTTAAACACAGCAAAGAAGATGAAAACAGAAGACATATTAAAGAAATTAGAATATATACATGTTGTTCCCCAAATTTTGATTAGAAATTGTCAGTTAGAATTTTATTTTAGTAATGGACATCCGATGTGACAATGTAGTTGAAGATCGTTTGAAGTACAGAGAGGTCTTCGTACCTGCAGACAAAGGGAGGGTTACATTTGTTATTCAAACGGTAACGACCCCTGTGGTCCAGCAGTGATCACTCTTAAAATTCACTATTAGCTTAACCGATTGCATGTCTTATTAAACAGTCAGTAAACTAAGCTAAGAAATAAAAAAGAAGGACACCAGCGAGAAAAGCTTCGGTGTCAATAATCTGCATCTATGAAGCTGAGTTTGGACGCACATTAGCTTCCATACTGTATCTGAAAAGTTGAACAACATATGACTGCTTGTGACTTTGTAAAAAGTCTTATTCCAATTCCAAAGACTGCTCACTGTGACCAAGTAAGGCACTGGAGGCTCCAGAAATGAATGGAGCAACTGTAAAAACTTGTCTGACTGCTAACTTACCACTGACACTCATCATCTTGAGCCATAAGCTTCTGAAAAGGCTGTCAACGATAAGATAGCAACATTTATATTTACAGTGTTTGAAGTGGAAAACAACAAGTGCTAGTAATCCCCTTATTCACATGTTGGAGTGCTTTCCACAACATGGAGGAATAATTTAGTGTAGTAGCATAATACAGCAATTTAAGAAATACACAACCAATGTTTATCATTTATATAGGTTTTCATTGTGGTCGTTCTCTAATTTGTTAATACCATCTGGTCAATCACAACGAGATGTTCAACATTTGAAAGTTTACTGTAGCATGTCAACCTTTTATTTAATGGCACTCCCCACTGAGGCTGTGATTGGTCGGGTCACGAAAAGTGACATAGACAAAATTTGTCTCAAGGCTTAGCCCAGGCCAGAATTAGTTTATGTTTTCACCTGATTAAACTGTTGCCATTCTGGAGAAATTGCTAGATTTACATAGAAAACAATAGGTATGGGTGTTATTATGTACAAGCCTGTCCTCACCAAAACAAATGACAAGATTTCTTTGTTCAAGTAGCTTATTACAACCCATATTTAGGTTTAATGTTTTTGTTAAACACATAAGATTCACATAAAGCATATGACAGGAAGCTTATCAACAATTTGCACAATGTTTTTGGCTGAGCATGTCAGTATATTAAAAGGCGGCATGTTGGGCTTGAAAATGTTGTTAATTATAATGCATGTCCTTCAAAGTAATTGTTTAGCAGAATGTTAACTGCACAAGAAATACTTGTTCCCATACTTGAGTTGACTGATGAGATTTCCCCTCCAGGTTTGAAGTCTCTGACGTGGGGCAGCTGTGGCTCAGCAGGTAGAGCGGGTTGGCCGTTAATTGGCAGTTCAATCCCAGGCCGCATGTCCAAGTGTCCTTGAGAGATTCTGGACTCCGAATTGCCCCTGGCAGCTGCTCCGCCAGTGTGTGAATGTTAGTTTCTGTTTGAGCACTTAGGCTCAGTGTGTGAATGTATTTGGAGCATTTAAATATGGAGCGAGTGTATATAATGTTCTGCACAGTATGTAGTGATAACGCAATGGTTGAGGCACTATGAAGCTTTTAATGGTAAAATATTTACAGGGACCTCCTCCTCACTGTGACAACCAAGAAATCCTAAATCCACCAAGAATCAGAATCAGAATCAGAATCAGCTTTATTGCCAGGTATGTGTACACATACGAGGAATTTGCCTCTAGATTGTACATAGAATGCTGGAAGAAATAAGTATTATGTGTGGTGTTATGTACATGAGGTAGGTGGATGTGGTATACAGTATAAATACAGAATGATGAATAAATAAATAATAAGTATTCTATTTCAGTCTGTAAACTGCAAAATCTGCTGGTCATAAAATGGTTATGTGAGAGGTATTGAATCTGTGTTTCTGTGTGCCTGAAAATATTAACATTTTCAGTCTTACTAGAGACTAAATGCTGTTTTCCTGTTTCCATACGGCCAAGGAATCTTTCTGTTAGTCATGTTTAAATACAGTATCCAAATGCTCTCACTCAGTTTATGATCTATGTTTGATAGGACCATCAAGATACACATACAACAATCTGTCTTTCCCATTAAGAAAGACACCTGATTTCCAATCTATTTGCATCGTCATGACGACTCAACAGTGACTGCATGCGCACAGTGAGCTTCTCAGTGCATGTGTCTGTGGTCCTGAAGAGGAGGTACAGTGCAGTTCTTTGCAGGTTTAAAGAAACACTTGGATGAGGTAGAAAAGTTGGTTTATCGATAAAAAGCAAAATTCAACAAAGTACAATGGAACAGACTCAGCAAATAAATCATGATGTACCTGAAGCATGTGACTTAAATGTTCTCTGAAGCTTCCACCCGATCGAAGAGATGAAAAATAGTAGCAGACAAAAACATCAGATTATCTTGAGCTTTTGACTGGTGCAATGGTTTAATGGCACAATGGTGAATTAGCTCTGATGGCTGCTTATCTTGACGAACCAACTCCTAATAATCACGTACCAATGGTGGATGAAAGTGACTGAAAACTGTTACTGAAATACAACCTAGAGTTGTGATTTGTATATTTAGTGTGACGTGAAGGGTTGAGTTGTGATTTCCTATACAATACATATTGGATTTTATAATCTTTACTGTTATATAAGTTTAACATGAACTTGTTCTGTCTTGAGAAATCAAGAAAGAGAGAAATATGTGGATCACCTGTCCACCCTTGAGGGAACAAAGGGAAATATCTGTCTCTGTAGCTGCTAAATGCTCCACTATGTTCACCAGCTAGTCTCTAACTGTGTTTTTCCTGCTGAGCAGGTAATGTTCAGTGGCTTTTTACAGCTGTTTTTCTGACTCTATGAGAGCAGAAACAGTAAAGTTGCTGTCGGACAGATAACAATGAGATGGAACTCACTATAAAGCTCTTTAAATCTGAGAGGAGCTGCAGATTCAGCTGATAATTCTCTGATTTGTAATTGTCAGTTGATGCGTTGTGGTCACTTTAAGTCTGTTTTAAGTTTTCTTCACCTGTGTGTGTGTGTTGTGTGTTTGTGTGTGTGGTTCCTGACTGTTGCTTGTTCTCCAGCTAAGGCACACACTGTTCTCCAGCCAAACAAATTTGTACGTTTATATAATTTGTAAAATGTGTAAAATAAAGTATTTCAACGAAGGTTAAAATGAAGGGCAACTGGACTTGGTTGAAGCTACTGGAAGACGTTTCGTCCCTCATCCAAAGGACTTCTTCAGTTCTGACTGACTGGCAGGGAAACTCAGCTATTTAACCTCAGTGGGGTCGTTATCTCGGGTCATCGATACCGCTGGTTCGTTAGTGTTCCTTGTTGCTGTGACGACAGTCGTTACAGTCGTTGAGACTACCTGTGGCCAAGACTGAACGACCATCGTTGGTATCTTCACCTGAGGCCAATAGGTTACGTTTGTTGAGTTTCCTGGGAAGTGATGAAAGGACAGCATTGTAAGTGGGGGATAAGTGGTGGCGTAGACCCCCTCCCCTGTTCAATGACGGCTTCTCAACCCTGGTGTAGATGCTTCCTTGACACCTCTTTCAAACCATCCATCTTCTCTGTCTAAAATGTGCACCTGGTGGTCCTCAAACGAGTGTCCTCTGTCCTTCAGATGTAAGTAGACAGCAGAGTCTTGACCTGAGGAGTTGGCCCTTCTGTGTTGAGCCATGCGTTTGTGTAGTGGTTGTTTAGTCTCCCCAATATAGAGGTCTGTGCATTCCTCACTGCATTGGACAGCATACACTACATTCAGTAGTGGAGACAGTTACCTGCCAGAACATATACACTGTCTGACACAGCGTTTAATTTTCTCATTCATACAGTCAGTATCAAAGTACATATGAGAACACATTCATAGGCAGAAGGTGAGTCTGGCTGTGAGCTCACATAGTGAGCTACTACTACTACTGTGGTGCAGAAACACTGACACTGTTACACACTCTTACTTTTACATTTTCCATGTTGTCTGTCAGTGGCCATGATCATCACTTGCACCAGATGTGATAGTTTTTGAGATGTTCTTCTTTACTTTGGTTTGTTAGTCTAGATGAGCCAACCCTCCCAAGATGTTACAAAATGCATGATTTTAGTACAGCAAAATAATGTATTACAGGAGGCTGAGCTAGCATATTTCTTGATGTTGCCGTTATTTGGTGGACAAGTAACAATAATATTTGCAATAACAAATACTTTTAAGTAAGTTAATTAATTAATTAATAATTTCTTAATAAACCCATCTAAAGAAATTCCATTTATTGACTGGCTACTCTCTGTCTCAGACGATGACATCTTTTGTCCTGCATTGGCCACTGTAGCTATCCTATGCGCTTTGGTGGAGTGGCGACCTTTAAAATATTAGGTGGCTAAAATACATTTTGCTGCTGACTCTGCCCACAGCAGTGTATTGCTTAGTTTCCACGCTGGTACAACTCTATACTTCTTCAAACTGGGGACACGCTGACCGACTATGGATAAGAACCTCATACAGCCCCATTTAAAAAATCCTACACTATCCCTTTAAACAATATCACTTGTTAGAGAAGACGATCCGGACCAGGTGACCTGTTATATGTGTGTAAGTTATTTAATGTATTTATTTCTTTGAATAGAAAATGTGTACCCAAGAAACAAAGGCTGTGTAGTTTCCATAAACAAATGTTTGCCGGCACAAATAATTTAGCAAAATGTCAAAGATGTACAAATATCACTTAACATTACACATAAATACAAATTTGTATCTTTATTTATATATTAAAACGTTTTCTAAAAAATAAAAAAAAACATTTGGATGATTGTTGATGTTTCTCAAACCAAATATTTTAAATCAAACAAGAATTTATGGCATTTTATGTCTTTATTACAAAAACATGGAACGGAGAGTCCTAAATTGACAGGAAACAAAGAATAACAAAAAAATCTCTACATTTTAATATAAATGTTCAATCCAGCAAAAACAAATAAAAAGGTTTCTGTGTTACATAAACTCACACTTTGGTGTAGAGTTTAAATTATTTTAGTCTTTGTCTTGAGTTCAGAGCTTTCAGAAAAAAAGTGTTCTGAATTGTTGAAAATACCAGAGGAAGAAAAATGTAATAAGATTTGATTCAACATTAATAAAAAAGGTCTCATTTTGTTGATTCCAGATCAGGACGTGATGTGACCTCGTGTTTACTGGACGTCACTACAACATGTGTTTTTAGTCGTGCTGAGTCGTGCTGTTCCTGATGTTTAATGTTCAGTGTTTTCAGGTTTGCTGGATTACAGCACTATTTACGGTTCAGCATTTTCGTGTGATGGTAACTTTTTATCATGGTCCTTTCATGTTGGTGATAAAATAAGCTAAATGGAGTGATTATTGTAGTTATCAAAAAGGTAAGATAAAATAAAAAAGTACGACAGCTGGATAATTATTGTCTTTCATTGACTATGAACTGAGAAATGTTGGATCTCTTCAGTGTTGCTGATGAGGAAGAACTGCAGTTTGTCTTTGGGGCTCCAGGACTTCAGGTCATCCCACACCAGGTCAGAGGGAGGATAATTTGTCCCACATCCTTGAACCCACATCTGTAAAATGCAAAGGCCACAGACTTACAAGCAGAGTCATTAAATCATTAAGTCCTCAAAGTTATAATTTATTATTAATATTTCGTTATCATTTTCTCTAGTTTTTTAGATTAGATTAGACTGGATTCGCCTTCATTGTCATTGCGCATGTCACTAGGTACAAAGCAACAAAATGCAAACAATTCAAACTCAACAACAACTGAGACAGAAGGAAGAAAGAATGATGATGATGCAACAACATAAACTGAGAAACAAATAAAGACTCACAATGACTTTTTTTCCAGGACTGAGTTTCAGTGGTTTCTTAAATGTGTATGAGATGGGTGCTCTGTCGTTGACTTGTACTTTTAACGTCCAGCCTCCCAGTTCTTGGTCCTACAGGAGGGAAATTTGGCACGAGAGGAGAAGATTATAGAAAGAGAGACTAACAAGTGAATGTTACAGTGCGTGTTAAATCCATTGTGTTTATAAATGAGGGTACGTCACCTCCCTCTTTACATGAAAACAAGAGAAAATGGATTCTGGGTAAAACAACAGTTCATTAGTTTTAGAGTTTTGGAATATCCCTGTTTACTCTTGGATAACTCAATGCTATATTGTGCATGCTTATATATCACTCACACAGTGAAAATACACACACAAACACCATTACCTCACTAGACGTGTTTTTGAGACCGATATATTTCCTCGACTTGTCAACCTCATCCACAATGACATGTCCTGCTGTTGAGCTCTGACCGGCTGAGCTGGTACCGTCCTGCTGCCGAGACTGAGAACTCTCAGAGTCTGGCACTTTCTGAGAGGGAGACAACACACACACAGCTCATTCAAGAATAATCAAAAAAAGTAGCTCTTTCTTACTTTTGATCTTCCCCCACTGGAAGTGAAAAATAGAGATAGAGAGAGACGAGAATACTTTTATTTAGAGCAGCACTTATCCTGCTCTGGATGGAAACTCATTCCTGATTTGCTGGAGGATGTGATTTATTACCTTTTAATGTGTACATAGCTAAGCTCAGCTTTAACCTGTTTACTCTGAGCACCTTTATATTGTAAATGTACTGGAGCGGGATTTCTCAGTGTTAACAACCAACACACTAACTGATGAATAGAACATGCAATTAGAAAATAACACAAACCCGAATGTCTCAAAGTGAGCATGTCAAGAGAAATCATCAACACAATCTAATCTTTCTCATGTTATCTCTTACAGGACAATAAAAATAGCACTTGAGTCCAGTTTCAGTTGTTTGGTGTCTCAGTTTTGCTTACGGTTTTGTTTTATTTTCTACACCTGTTCTGTGTTTCCGCCCTCTTGTTTACTGTAGTATTTAATTCCTATGTTTAGTTCAGTCTCAGCTGGATCATAGTGGTTTCATGTCCTGTAAAAGTCGCGAATACCTGTTGTCTCAGCCTGTATACCTGCCAGTTTACACTTTCCTGTGGATCTTCACCATCTCCGCCTGGATTACGGTTTGTGGATCACTGTCAAAGATAGGCCTAACTCTCTGTCCATACTTCGATAACAGATTGATCATAAAAGCACCAGGTTCAAGATCATGTTTGGGTAAAAACAACTAACAGCCTATCTAACTGTGACTTCATTGTTTCTAAAGACGTAACTGTGTTCTAATATGTCCTTTGATATCAACAGTATGAATGAGGAAATGTCAGACAACCGCTTCAGGCTCCGCAGGAGGAGTCAGAGAGAAACTCAGCGTTTGTTCAAGTAAACCTCCTCCCGAGGAGATTAGGTTCACAGCGTAAATTGTCAGGATTACTGATGTAGAGTTTATTTGATCTTGGTCTCTCAAAACCGAAAACCCAGAGTTTTCCTCATCTCGGGCTCAACTTACTCAGTTTTCACTAAACCCGCTTTCTGAAACAGGGCCGTTTTGTCCTTCCTGCCCAAAACAGACTTTATTTTTGACTTTATCTCCCTCAACTGGAAATCAAATTCATGTTTCTTACATGTTTGGTCTTTTTTCCTTCTCCATTGTTCAAAAACTTCATTTGCACTGTTTCAACTGTCATGAGCTGCTGTTGCTCTCTTTCTCCTTCAGCGACAAACTTGTAATTTTTAGAGAGGTTCTTCATTTCTCCATCACAGCAGCTTCTCTTGGTCTCTGTGTAAAATAGAATTAAGGTGTAAAAGAGATTTAATTGCATTATAGGACAGTATCACAGCATATGACACACTTCAGTCTAAAATGGGCTACAAAAATAAGACAACTAAAAACTGGAAATAAAAGTAGATGAAACCACCACATTTTTATCAACCCCATAACATCTAAAATACTGACATTTTGATCAAATGAGATTTTATTTACCTGGTTAAACAATTAATTTCTCTATTACCCATGAAATCTGTGACCGTAACGTGACACAAAGCACAGAAATTAATGTGACTTACTGAGTTCATTTTGTCTCCAATTGTACACAAAAAAGACAATCGCTGCAGACATTAACAGGATGCAAGCAGCCAAACTAACAGCCAAACCAATAATGGTGGACAGAGAACTGGACTGGACCTCAAAGAAATCATCTGAAACGATAACGAATAACTTGACATTTATGTAAAGACCTCAGCTATTTGAAACTAAAACAGTAAATCATTAATAATGTCTACCTGTAACCTGGATGTGAGTGTCTCTGGTCTGGTTGATGTCCTTCTGTTGGACTCTACAGGTGAAGCTGTTGCTGTGTCTCTTCTCCACAGTCACTCTGCTGCTGACAGTATAGAGGTCATCAGGACCTCTGACTGTCTCTGTAGGTCCAGCAGAGAGGAGGTTTCCCTCACCGTCCAGCCAAAACACCTCAGGCTCTGGATACCAGCCTGCAGACTCACACTGTAACACCACTCCACTGGTGGCTTTAACAATTCCTGCTAAAGTTATGACTGGTGAGGAGACAGCACCTGAGCAAGAGGAAATAAATATTTAACAGTGCTGTTACTGGAAGTGAAAGCTCCTATAGTGCATCAAATAATTATCAAAATTAATTAGCCTAATGGCTTTATAATGAGTCATTGAATTTCAAATGGCATTTGTTACGGCCCATGTGGCTTGAAGGTGTGTGTTTCAGTACTGCCATGGTTTTCTGTTTGAGGAGCTAATTGCAGTGGTCCCTCCTGGATTGGGAACACCTGGTCCCAGTGCTCCACAGGAGATAAAAGCTTTACCTCCAAGATCATTTCTCTCTCTCTCTCTCTCTCTCATCCTCCCTGCCAGCTGCTACACCTTTTGGTTTTCGCTACATGTTTGCTTTATTTGGACACTCCAACACTTTACACCATGATCTCCCATCCACACTTACACTACTGATGTTGCTGACTGACCCATCCCATTATTAAATGTTATTTTTGGTTATTTTACGTTAAAATAAACCTTGTGAATTGAAGTGCAGTGTCTGTAGCACTTTTTGTCATTATTAGAAAAAGCTGTTGAAAACAGAAGAAAGAACAGGAGGTAAGATGAGGTTTTGGCACACAGGGATTTATATTAAATACTTTTACCTCACTGTTGAATCTGTGGCCATGTTTAACTTAAACATCCAACACTGTAACATTGTAGATAAGTCATAAAATATGGAAAAGCAATAATAGGTCTTCTTTAATAATGTTGTGTATATAGTGCGCATACGCCAACATGCATTTGCTCCGTCGTTCATTGTCATATTTTCTAACTTTTTTACTTTTTATCTCACGTGTGTGATTTTTGGACTGTTTGTAATTTAAACTAGACTCTCTGTAATCATGCAAGTTGGGAGAGTTTTGGTAAGCCACAGCACCTTTGCGCAGCAACTACATTGTTGCTTTGTTTACACCCGGGACCAGCTGGCTAGTTCAATAAGCTTCGCAGAGACTTTTCCATCGACGGCTTTCAGACTGTTTGGGCCGACAGGGATTGCACCGAGAGAGGTAAGCATAAAGGCGGAGGGCTTGCCGTTGTAGTTAACAACAGATGGTGTAATGCCGATCACAATGGGACTACAGTCATATTATCTTCCATTGGAAATTTCACATGCCATCGCTGTAGTCCAAGGACTACAGACCTGTGGCACTGGCCTCGCACATTATGAAGACCCTGGAGAGACTTGTTCTGGAACAGCATGGTCAGACCTCTCCTGGACCCACTCCAGTTTGCCTACCAAGTTGAGTTGAAGACGCCATCATCTTCCTGCTGGACAAGCCGGCGAGCACTGTGAGGGTCATACTTTTTGACTTATCCAGTTCTTTCAACAACATCTGGCCGGCCCTGCTGGGTGAGAAGCTGACAGCAATGCAGGTGGATGCCCCCCCTTGTGTCCTGGATTGTTGACTACCTGACTTGCAGACCACAGTATGAGCGCCTGCAACACCTGTGTATCAGACTGCGTGGTCAGTAACACTAGGGCCCCGCAGAGGACTATCCTCTCTCTCTTCCTCTTTCCCATCTACTTCATGCATTCCAACTACGACACAGAGTCCTGCCATTTTCAGAAGTTTTCTGATGACTGGTTGGATGTATCAGCAAGGGGGACGAGGCTGAGTACAGAGCTGTGGCGGGTCTTTGTCACATGGTGTGAGCGGAACCATCTGCAGCTCAACGTGACAAAGTCTAAGGAGCTGGTTGGCACCAGTGACCCCTGTTTTGTGCAAAAATACCTGCTTTAATACTTAATGTGTAATACTCTCTGCTGCAATTCTGCTGTTACTATTTATTCATTATTACTGTTCACCATAACAATTCATTTATATTTTCTTTTACTCTGATATATATAATCTTTTTTATATACCAACGTCCTATATTTATTTATGTTCCTTTGACTTTTGTGCAATGTGTGCTACTGTGACACAGAATTTCCCCTCAGGGATTAATAAAGTATTTCTGATTCTGATTACTGGAAGTGAAAGTTCCAGTGCATTAAAAACTATCAAAATTAATTAAATGTCCTGAAAGGTGGCTAGAGTCACTGGATTTCAAATGGCATTTATTTCAGTATAAATCCTAGGTTATTAACTTTGCCTTAGCTTAGTGAAACAGTGTTAATCCTACTAAAATCATTTTTTGAAGGTTTTAAGACTGAAACATGCAAAGTGAACAAAAACATTATAGACTTACCAACAATCAGCTGAACAAAAGATTGCAGCCCCTGTGCTGGACTAAAACATCTGTATGTTCCCTCATCCTTGAGTTTCAGTTTGGAGAGTTTCAGCAAGATGTTTCCAAACTTCAGCTCATCGATGAAGAGTGACGTTCTTCCCTCGAAGGATTGATGTTTTTTACCCACAAGCTCCTGACCAGAACGCCACACGTGGACAAATCTGGGGTTCAGGTCAGGTCTCGTCCACTCCAACGTCAAACCAGAAGCATCTTCTGCAGGTTTCAGATGACATGGCAAAATGATGTCATCACCAAGTGTTGCCACAATTGGCTGAGATGGACCAATCAGCTGAGGCTGACCTGGAAAGACAAATGTCTGTTTTAATGATCCAAATAGAAGTTATCTCAATTCCATAAGGTATCATAAAAGTGCGGCAGTGTCGATCATGACAGCAGTAATTACCACACAGTGACTAAAACCTATAAAAAGGAGAGAGGATTGTCAAGACTCAAGCAGGATGTTTTTTTTCATCCATATACAACCCCAATTCCAATGAAATTGGGACATTGTGTTAAACGTAAATAAAACCAGAATACATTCATTTGCAAATCCTTTTCAAACTATATTCAATTGAATACACTATAAAGACAAGATATTTAATGTTCAAACTGATAAACTTTATTGTGTTTTGCAAATATTCACTCACTTTGAATTTGATGCCTGCAACATGTTCCAAAAAAGCTGGGACAGGGGCAACAAAAGACTGGGAAAGTTGAGGAATGCTCATAAAACACCTGTTTGGAACATTTCACAGGTGAACAGGTTAATTGGAAACAGGTGAGTGTCATGATTGGGTATAAAAGGAGCATCCCTGAAAGGCTCAGTCATTCACAAGCTAGGATGGGGTGAGGTTCACCACTATGTGAACAACTGCGTGAGCAAATAGCCCAACAGTTTAAGAACAACGTTTCTCAACGTACAGTTATAAGGAAATTAGGGATTTCATCATCCACGGTCCATAATATCATCAAAAGATTTAGAGAATCTGGAGAAATCTCTGCACGTAAGCTGCAAGGCCGAAAACCAACATTGAATGCCTGTGACCTTCGATCCCTCAGGCAGCATTAAAAACTGAAATCAATGTGTAAAGGATATTACCACATGGGCTCAGGAACACTTCAGAAAACCATTGTCAGTTAACACAGTTTGTCGCTACATCAACAAGTGCAAGTTAAAACTCCACCATGCAAAGCGAAAGCCACATATCAACAACACCCAGAAACGCCGCCGGCTTCTCTGGGCCCGAGCTCATCTGAGATGGACTGACGCAAAGTGGGAGAGCGTGCTGAGGTCTGACGAGTCCACATTTCAAATTGTTTTTGGAAATTATGGACGTCATATCCTCCGGGCCAAAGAGGAAAAGGACCATCCGGATTGTTAACAGCAAAGTTCAAAAGCCAGCATCTGTGGTGGTATGGGGGTGTGTTAGTACCCATGGCATGGGGAACTTGCACATCTGTGAAGGCACTATTAATGTTGAAAGGTACATACAGGTTTTGGAGCAACTTATGCTGCCATCCAAGCAACGTCTTTTTCAGGGACGTCCCTGTTTATTTCAGCAAGACAATGCCAGGCCAGATTCTGCACGTGTTACAACAGCGTGGCTTCGTAGTAAAAGGGCACGGGTACTAAACCGGCCTGCCTGCAGTCCAGACCTGTCTCCCATTGAAAATGTGTGGCACATTATGAACAACGGAGACCCCGGGCTGTTGAGCAACTGAAGTTGTACATCTCTCTCTCACTGCTCCTGTGCTCGAGTACTAACTGATGCTAAATCATAGTTTTCAGTCACGTGACATGCGCGGTGACCTGGAGGGCAAAACAAAAGACCGACATAAATTTTCTTTGGATCACTTCTCAACTCAAGAAAAACATATATGTATATATATGGATACAACACCTGCTGCCGTTGTGACACCAAAATCTGTGACCTATCAGATTCTGTGACCCAAATGGCAAGTTAAGCGCCTGAGGCTTTGTGGACGATGTGAAGCGATTACAGTTTGGTTGGGTTTAGGTACCAAAAGTACTTGGTTATGGTTAGGAAAACATAGTCACAGAATCTGATAGGTCATAGATTTTGGTGTTACAGCATATTTCCACCATTAAAAACCACCAGGTCCCTGCCAGCGCTCGACTGTGATGATGTTTACCTTCTAGGGAATCCCTCACCTAACACAGCTCAGGCTTGAATCGTCATCGATTAGTGCACCCAAAAGCACAACCATCCGGCATTTTGGCGACGCAACTTTGACAAACTTAAAGTAACAGTGTATCACTTGCTTCTTGGGTGGCGGGCAGCGGAAAATAACGTCTTTTTTGCCCTCCAAGGGAGCATTTTTTCTTGGAATGTGACATCACGTGAAAGCTATGAATTAGGTGAAATAATGTTGTGGGGAAGGTCCACACCACTTTCTTTGTTTTTTTTTTTTCAAAGCTCCACAAAATGGAGAGCTAGTGAATCTTGAGGAAATTTTTGCTGAATTTAACAAAAGGTGTATTGGATTATAATAACTTCCCTTTAATAGCATAAACTGCCTAAATGATGTAATGATACTGTGTGTGTAATTATATTGGATAAAAAAGCCTAAATTGGAGCTTCTGATAGCACCTGTGTAGGAGTTGCCTCTACAGGAGTGTGTCAGGAGAAGATGGAAAACCAGAACACTGAGGGGTCTGACAGGAGATTGAAGGGACAGTCCATCTGTCTGGTGAAGCATCCTGTAGCTCTGAAAATGGACCAGTGATACAGTGTATTAAAATAATGCTTTAGGCAAAATAAGTAATTCATCCATTTCATTCCTGAGCAGGCACTCAGTAGACCTTTTTTTTTTATTTTTACCTTTACTTATCTGGTGAAGCTGAAGATACAGTAGAAAAGTACAATTCAGTGCTCCTTTAATATTAAAATGTTTTGTGATTTAATGTGCCTTGGCTGACTTAAAAATGCAATTTTAAACCAATCAAAATAGCTTTTTTGAATCTTGATATATAGACTTTATTAGGTAAGTTCATGTCTGTTAGTCAGAATTATCCATCCATGCATTAACTTTGTCAGGGCCTGTATGTTGTTGGTATGTTATGTATTGTGTATAAAAAACAACAGAAGCGAAACAATCTACATTTTCCTGTCAGAAATATTAACCCTGTGCCTCTCTGTTAGACACTGAATGGTACCTTTGGCGACAAATAACTACACTTTTTCTGAAAGCATTGGTATTGGACATCCTCAGGTGACAATGGTCTGAATACTCACATGTGGATTTAGTTTTATTTTTATTTAAATAAATAAAATCTTTTGTCAACACAGATGTTACATGTGACAATATGTTTGTTTGGTGGAATAAAAACAGTATTATTCTTTCTCTGCCATGTTGCTATCTACATTTCCACTGACACAAAAGCTATAAAATAACTTTATTACTCTATTATAAACATTAAAACATGGAGAATGGGCAAAAATAAATTCAGAAGACAACGTACCTGCTGCATGATGTGCCAGGCTGCCCAGCCAAAGTGTTCAAATCCCCGATAAGCTGTGAGCTTAACTTTGCTCTGGTGATCATATACAGTTTGCAGCTTTACAGATTTAGTTTAAATCAGTAAGGACACATCTCCAATAAATGAAAAGACTATATTGACTCCAATTTTGAGACCTGATGTACCTGTTAATTCAAATCTAAAGCTGCCAAAAGTATATATTAATTTATCAGTTAAACTTTAAACACAGTATGGGGGTTGGGACTTTCACTTGTGAGTGTTTATGAACAGCTGGACTTTGAGCCTGTTACCAGGCAACTGAAGATTTCTGCCTGCAAAACATCCAGTAAACTTTCAGCTGTCGCTCGAGGCCATGTCAACCATCACCCACTGAGTTGAGTATGTCAGCAATAACTGCAACAAAACATTTCGAGTAACTTTTGAACAGTCCTGCTCATTGACTTGAAGGTCAGGACTGTTGACTTGGCCTTTCCAAAACATTCACTTTATTCTTCTTTAAGGTAGGTGGGTAGATTTATTTTGTCACAATATAACAGGTTATATAGTAAAATCGAGTTTGTAATTCCCTTCTGCTATATAGCAGACAATATACATTGATATAGAAGTAATTATAAAAATGGTAAACAGAAATAAACTATAATCACTGGAGCAGTGCTGAGGATGAATTTGAGTTTAAGAGTCTGATATCTTTGTTTGTATTTGTTAGCATACAGTTGTACAATATCAGCCAGAACATTATAATATGGCCTCAGAGGCCTGACTGACGTCCCGAGAAGACATTCTCAGCGTTGACAGCATGTTTTAAAAAAAATGTAATTATGTTTTTGGACTTTCTTAACAGAACATCATAAAATGTTCTTAGCTTATGGATTCACAGTCAATGTTCTGCAGCCATAGATTGTCCATTCAATGCCGTATGTATGTGCTATATATGTTGAATAAATGTTTAAGACTTGTATGGATTCTCTTCCCTTGAGATCCTCAGGCAGAGGTCTGTTGTCTGTTCCAGAGTCTTGACTGAAAACTAAAGGGGACAGAGCGTTTGCTGTCAGGGCCCCGAGGCTCTGGAACAGCCTGCCCGAGGAAATCAGGTCGGCTGAGTCAGTGAACTCTTTTAAAACATACTTTTATAGGAGAGCCTTTCCCGATCTGATTTGACTTTATTTTATCCCTTTTATTTTATTGTATTTTACTAATTTTATATAAATTTTTCATGCTCTTATCTTGTTTTTTTTTGTATTATTCTTTACACTTGTTAAAGCACTTTGTAACTTGTTTTTGAAAAGTGCTCTACAAATAAGCATTATTATTATTATTATGACACAATGGGAGTGTTGTATTTTATACACACTGGAATGTGGAGAAGAAACATTTACACAGTATATAGCACACTGGTAAATCATTCTTTTGGCCAGATGGTGACATTAGGACATTTCTGATGTGAGTTTGCTGTCAGAGATGCTGAGAAGCTGACAGCAGGACCAGGTTAGAGCAGAAGGGCATGCAGGTTTAACTCTCGGTGAATGATGAAGATGATAACTAAGCTGCAAATAAAACATAAATATCACAAACCAAATGAAATGAGCAAAGATAAATACATCTGTATCCGTAATCTGGATTCAAAACAGTTAATAAAGACACAGTACAGGCCTTCAGTTAAATCCTGCCACCTGCTGGTAGAAAGGGGAAACAGCTTGGTTCATTACGGTGGAAACCACATTAAAGATCAATTTTATATGAAAAAATATAGCGCTGACAGTAACAACTCTGCCCACACAATCATTTCTTAGGTTAACCTATATTAGCCTACCAACTGTACTGCACCAAACAAATGCGCTTAAAAAAAACGTGACTCTTGCTTTTTCATGAATAAATGCACAATATTATAGTGCATGTAATCAACTGCTGTTACTAACGTATTTCTCCCGGTCCAGGTTTATTTATTTATTTATTTTCATCTAACGTCCTGGTATAACGTTGGTGCTACAGCTCTGACAGTTCTACAAGCTAGTCTTTTATTTTAATATGTTTACTATTACTTCTGGACAGCATGCACATAAGGTTTTAACTGAAGAAATGTATTTAACAAACCAAGGAATAAAATGATATAGTATGTGAAAACTATATTTTTAATACTGTTTAACAAATGTGTTCACATATTTTCACATATTCTAATACTGTTTAATGCAATGCAAAAATATTGAACCTCACTTCTGACGCCTCAGCCTCTCTCTCTTTCTCAGCATCCTCAGCTCCACCATCACTGCTGCTAGCATTTGGGGATTCTCCTATTTCTGGCAGCCATTCATCATCACCACCACTACTATTGACTATTACTGAAATACAGCCAGCGATGTATGTCCCATTTAGTGTACAGATGAGTAATCGTAGTTTAACAATTGTATTACTCCTTAGTTGTTAGTAGATCTTACCAAATTTTATCTACGTGCAGGGGTCTCCTATAATTGGAGGAGTGGCAAGATTTACCTGAGCTGCTCAGCGTTTCTGAACCCCGTAGGCCATCTTGGTTTTGACAAATTTAAGTTGCACTTACAACAGCTTACCAGAGGGTGGCAGTGTGTGACATGACACTAGTGTCCACTGTAGTGGCTGATGTGCAACTAGACTATCAGAACCTCTGCCCATTCAAATAAAATGCTTTTGAATAGATGTCCACTGTTGAACCACTATGCATGAAAGGGGTTTTGATTTTAATATGTATTGGTCAATAATTATCTACCTTTATACTATAAAGTTTCTTTGTATCTGTTTTTGTATCTCTGTGTCTGTAAAGCATTTTGAAAGACTGTAGTGTTTGGAAGGTGCTGCATAAATGACCTGATTATTGCAGATGTGTTTTAATTTAAACCTCATTCAGTTATTATGATTCAATTCAGCTAAAACAATCAACAACAAACAAACAAAACTTTCACTGGATGCGCTCTCCTCCACAGCTCCTCCTCCCACCGACTCCACTCTGGTCAGACTGCTCTGCCATCTAGTGGTCATCAGTCTACACTGCATCTATATTGGCCAGATGGTGTGAGCATCCTAATGTAAACTATCAGACTCTTAAACTAAATAAAATTGCTCCAAGATCCTGGTTTGTATTTTCAGTTTCAGATTCAACCTTGAATATGAATAATTAAAGGTGCATCAATCTTCAACTCTGAACTGTGGTTATTTTGAGGGTGGATAAAAACTGTGACAGAAACAATGATTAGAGGTGTGACGCCTTGTGTGGCCATGTTTTGGTGTAGCAAATCTCTCTCTCTTCCTTGTAGGTGAAGAGCAAAGGCTGATTGCAGTACCTCTGGGCACATGGCCCTGTAGAGTTTTTGTAACTCCTCGTTCTCATTCTTCAGCAAGCTGCTGCTGGGCTGAGGTGACAAACCTCCCTGTCAACTGATTCCTCTGTGTTTCTCTGCACAGGTTCAACCTTTGGTTTGGTTTTTGGATACGTTGCTTTAGTGGTGTTTTTCTTGTTTCTTGTATTACAACACCCTCACACACTCCCATCCATCATCCTGCCCTGGCTACTGAAACCACTGATCTTCATACCCCATACTTTAACACTTTTAATCTAGCACAATTCTTAACTTGGATAACTTTGGTTTAAATAAACAAATTTGTTAAGTCTCACCATGGTGTGTCTACCTAAGCCTCGCCATATCTACCTTTTGTTGTGGCCGCTTGAACAAGGTCATAACAAATGGGGGCTTGTCCGTCCTTTAGACAATAACAAATGGGGATTCGTCTAAAGGTCAGTGTACTGTACTGATTTTGATTTAGTGCAGCTGTGTGCTGGCTTTGTGCTTTGTCGCGGGGGATATAAGGTGGCATTAGTGATGTCAATGGCTGTAAGAGAGAGCAGCCAGTCAAGATAGTAGACTGATCTTGAAATATTAGAAAGTTTTGCCCAAAAATCTTCACATTTTGTGCCATCACCCAGAACATTTTGAATGTTAAACACTGCACTTCCTGATTTTTGGTTACATTTTTTATTACCAATGTCTTTATTTATATAAAGGGAAACACAAAATTCAGGCAGCATGTGACAAATCAGAATCTAAAAATATAATATATCATGCAGTAAGGCTCTCAGGCATTTTGTGTTTCTCATTTAATATCTTCCCTGCTGAGTCACCACACGTAGGTATTTTTGATTAAAATAACCTTTTTAAATGTGCATGTGGCACATTTTCTCGTCAATAATAAATCATTTTGAATGAGAATTGAATTACAAACTCCTGGAATTTAACTCCTGTGTTTCAGCAACTTTCAGTCTCTGCCACATATCTGTGTTCTGTGACATGCCAAGAATAATGCAATTTTTTCAAGGAAAAAACTCAATATATATGAGAATAAAGTCGGAATCTATTGAGAATAAAGTCTTAATCTTAATCTTTTAAGATGATCTACCTGCCCTATAGACCTACTCTGCTGTGCATTAGCCTGCGGTATTGCTCTGGTTATCCCCTTTAAACCACCTGAAAGACACAGAACTGCTTGGGACTGAACTGGATGAGACAAGCGTGCTGCGCTTCATCTGTGGTGGAAAACTAACTGCAAACACTTCTTATCAGGCATAATTCTCACCACAAATCCACACATTAACTTCAGCACCTCCAATGAAATGCAGCTCTGGTGCTTCAGTGGGATGCATCCTGGATCAGAGGGACAGTCCCAAACAGAGAAATGGTGTCTCTAAGCGAGGGGGATGCAGACCTTTTGGTTGGTTATTCTCTCGCTTATTTACAGCGGACTGTTAAAGAAATGTGATGCTACCAAGCCGACCAATCACAGTTCGCCACAACGTGTGGTTATGGTTGCTAATTAGTTTTAACATGTGAGGCCTTTCTGTGTCACCGATGATGATGATGATGTCAGTGTTGGTGTTGAAAAAGAGGCCAATGCCACCTTAATTATTTGCTTGTTCAAATAAAGCATTGAATTTGAAATTGAGAGTTCTTTTTATTTCAAGATTATATATTAAGCACACAAGTGCTTGTTTCACTTTGAACTAATATTTAAAAAATATACTGAGTAAAGCCCGTGACCCTGTATGCAGGATAAGCGGTTGACGATGGATGGATGGCAGTTTAAAAGTAAAATCAATGACTTCCAACATTCCTAGTTAGTGTAGAGATTCAATATTTAGAGTAATATTAAATTCTTAAATATTAAATATTAACTCCTTAGTGTCATTCAGTAATATTTTTAAAGAACTCATTCAAAACATTACAGTTTTCACAAAATATTAAAATAAACAAGTTTATTAAAAAAGCTACTGAGTAACTGTCACAGTGAGAATGATGGAGCCACAGAAGGCTTCATACAGCTATTTTCAGACATGTAGTAGTACACCTGTTAAAACTTTGCTGTGTGAAATCGGTGGAGTTACCATTTAAAACTGTTAAAACTGTTGGTTTTACATGCTTCCAGTTTATTGGCATGATCAACCTCACTGCCAGACAAGTCAAAGTAATAATCTGGAGAACTGACAGCAATCCAAGTAAACAAATCAGTGGGCACGGTATTATACTAATACAGGTTTTCAAATGAAGCTGCAAAAAATTCTCCACAACATGCATAATGTACACTCACACATCACAAACATGCCAGCAAGTTTGATACTGTCCAGTATTTCTGTATAGTGCACAGTGTAATTTAAATCCTGTGCATTATCTTAATGCATAAAACTTTTTTAATTCTTGTATATACCTGAAGACAGAGTTACGGAGGAGGGTAAAGGAAACTGCACTGTAAAAGCGTTGTGGGTTTACAAGTGAACTGAATGTGTTGTGAAGTCTTGCTTGCTGCTGTAACCGGGCCCCAAATGAAGCATCGCTGAGGGACCATGTGAAGGATGTCAGTGGTTTAATATGCGAATGGAAACTTATTTGTCTTTAAACTCAGGGTGTCTGCTTGAGGTCACAGCATCTAGTTGACCACAGTGAGTGTATTTAAGATCTGCAGCAGCTCCGTTCTTATTAACAGCGACGTGTGAACAAACAGAACAGATAGAACAATGTGGTTTAACTGTCACACTCTAATAAACCGCCTCGTCTTAAAAAAAATACACGCTGATGCTTTAACCAAGCTAAAGACCTCAGAGGAGGAGGAGGAAGATGAACCACACGACTCTTTCCAGATACTATAAACAGCTTGACTGCTTTAAATTGTTCAATAGTCAGTACATATACCTGTTTGTCAGTTTTTTGTTTGTTTTTTTCAGTTAAAATGCCAGCAATTTAAAGTAGAAACATTGCCAAAACATTTTTACATTTGGCTCACTGGAGAACCAGCTGTTTATCTTGATCATTTTAACTTATAATATTCACATATTACTAGTGGATGGAAAAAAATAAAACAAATTGAGCTACATTTAGATGGGACCTTGGCTAATTATTGCAAATGTTGACAGCCTCCCTAAAACTGCTTTTGATTATATTGTGTAACAAACTCTTCTGTTTGTCATCCTGAATATATAGTCAGAATGATGCTGTTAAATGTACCAGATCTGAAAACAGCGTACTTAATTCTTCTGTTTTTGTTCTGAAGGCAATGAAAGTACAAACATTTTGCATTCAGCCAGTGGTCTGGTGGTTCAGTGTCTGACGCTGATCGAATAATGAATGAACCACCAACTCATAACAAGGATTATACAACATTAGCAGAGCTGTATTTAAAATATATATTTCTGATGTAGAGTGCAAGTACAGAGAGGTACACAAATATCATTTTGACTGAGCTTTCAGTCACTTGCTGAATTGTTCCTAAAATAAAAATCCACTCTGAACAGTATACTGTCACACAGCATTGTGAGTGTCACTAGTGAGAAATGTACGTGCATAAAAGAAATCACTAAGAGGAACAACAGCGAAGTGCCAAGTAATGCACTATGCTGAAGAACATCAGAAGACCCACCAATGTATTACAAACAGTGCTAATTACTTTCTGTCTGTGAATGCAGTGCTTGTTTGTCAAATTGTCAAATTTACATCATTGTAGTACTGATGGAGAGACAACCAAATGTGCATTGTCAAATGTAAAAAAAGAACACATTTGTACTTATATACAAATATATATATAAAATATATATATATATATATATATATATATATATATGTGTGTGTCATAAGAAAAAAAAAAGATAAATTTAAAAGGGTACAGTTACTATAACATTACTGAGTGTGACTGTACAGTATGACTTCCCTCCTTGTAAAACTTTGAAAAGATCATATCCTCAGTCAGGTGTCACCGGCCTGTAAAACACACAACATGAAATACTAATGTAAATTGTATGAACTTTTATTTGGCCTTATTTTTGTTGAGGTTTGTCAAAAAGAGAACAACACTATATGACCATAATAGAGCATCTTTTAGACTGTACTCAACATGCTAATATGATCACAGTGACAACATTAACACGTTGATGCTAAACAGGTATAGTGTTTACCATGTTCACCATCTTAGCTTAGCGTGTTAGCAGGCTAATATTTTAGCACAAACCACACAGTACAGCTGAGGCTCAATGTTAATAGGTGTTTGGTCATAAACCAAAGTATTGGAGAACATTTTAATTGTTAATCAGCATGATTTTAATCATTAAAAAACATGGATATGTGTACCAAATTTCCTTGCAATCTATTAAATAATTGTTGAGATATTTCACTGATGGGTAGTAGGAGAGTTGCCAGGGCTCTTGTGTGTGTCTGCCAGCGCGGAATATTTACACTCACTGTGCAACAAACTGGTGATTCAGCAGCACTGTTCTTCTGATCAGGAATATTTATTTATAATGCCAAACTGCAGGAGGCTCAGCACATGCTTGCCGATCAGATACTGTGTGTGGAGCAGACAAACCTGGACTCCCTTGTTAATGTCCTTGTCCACTTTAATGAGGGGAATCAAAGTCAAGAACTTTCCAAATACAGTTTACAAAATGTCCGACCATTCTGGATCACTGTTGCACTACAGTAAGCAGTGCTTATCACGCCAGCCTGGTATCATCAAAAGGCGCCAATTTCTGAGTCGTTTGGCGTAGTAGTCCAACGCATTTTTTGGTCATTTCACACCTACTGTCACAGGTAGAAATCAGTGTGTGTGGGACATAAATGGCCATGAAAGTCCGGTGGTGGAGGTGTGGTTGGGTGGATAGTAA